AGCTTCCTAGGAGCATATCACTCATGCTGTCCATACGACCGCCGTTACGAGCTCTTTTCATGGCATATTCGAGGAATTGTGACGGCTCAGTCTTGTTGATGATATTTCTCAATAAATCTGTATGCTGATTGATTTGGCTTGGAGAGATAAACCACAAATGTTAGACAAACATTTGATTGTAGGTGATAATGTATACTTACTAGTTCAAAGCTTTGAAGTCAATAACCGTAGGCCACCCTTTACTCACACCAAGCGGAATGATGTCACATTCAGCCTGATGTAGTTGAAAAAATTCGGCAGTTTGAGTCCACTGTGAAAATAAACACACACCCATGAGATGAGAAGACAAGTTGAATAGATGAGAAGACAAGTTGAATAATCATAAACATATGAAACAAATCACTCACCGATAATTTGTGGGAGTCAGGCATTGCCAAAAGAAGAGCTTTGAGATCAATAAGCCTTTTTGAAGGCGCGGCAGGGAGGGGGTCATCGCAGAATGGACATAGGTCAGAGTCTTCATCTTGATCTTCAGAATCTGAATTATCACACATATCAAATGATTCTGCCGAGTCAGAATCTTTCAGGTCAACCTCGTCCGCGTCTTTATGTTCAATCATGTCATAGAAATCAAGCAGGAGGGCTTCATCTTTGGTAGGGGATGGTTCTGATGATGTGTCGGAGGTAGCTTCAATTGCTGAGGTTGAGGTAGAACCGACTAATGCGCCAGTTGGAGGAGCGGGAATTTGGGCGTTGCGACGCAGTGGACACGTGGTGATATTGTGACCTGGAGTGAGGCAAAGACTACATTTGCTTACACAAGGCTTTTTGGAATTCTCGGCTATCTCGAAGTCCGACTTCCATCGACCTTCAGGTGATACGTGCCTCTTGCCTTTGGCATTCCCAGCGCGTGGTCTTCCTTGAGGATCAAGTTTCACCTCGGCGTTCAAAATCGGAATGAGAGAGTATTGTCCAGATTCGGGCAGTCCAATTCCGCCATAGAGTTTTCGAAGGGAATGTTCAGGTAGATCTAACAAGTGATTAAACTTGACACGAGCAGCAGCTGTAAGTCCATCATGCGTTTTGGGGGCAATTTCCATCGCAAGTTTCCACTGGAGGTGGATCAAGTCAGGTGAGAGGTATTCCATCGTATCTCGTGCTGAAGCCAGTTCGTGTGAACACGGAAGACCCCAAGCACCTCGAAAGGTGTGAGTGCACGGTGTTTGAAGTGCATCCGGTAATAAATCCCACTGAATCTTGAGTTTCTTCAGTGCAAAGTGAGATATCACACCGCTGACATCTTTGAAGAATGCTGGAAGGCCTTGAAGGGTCTTCGTGCGCTCAATTCCCACTAAAATCATGATTTCGCTGGTTTGATGCTCCTCAAACCTTTTAAAAGCGTTGAAACATGTTATGAAATCGTTGTGTCGACCATCAAGAAAACGTTTTGCTCGGTAATGACTGCCTTCAACACGTGAGGTGGATGAATTTCCGAAATGCGGAGTTTTGGAGGTGAACAAGGTGACGAATTTCTCGGTGCGGCCAAGCCAAGTGTGTTCCAAGTAATCAAAGATATCGTGAGCTTTTGCAACCTTTGTAACTGCCTCGAGATTAGCGTCGTAAACATTGGAAGAAGTTGAGGATACAAATGAATTCCATAATTTCATGAACTCAGTCCATTCCGGTTCTGAAAATTTGTTCTTACAGTTCTTAGCGATGTTTTGGTTGATGTGCCACACACAAAGGATGTGCACGGATTCCGGAAAGACAATGGAGATGGCGTTGATGAGGGCTGTTTTAGCATCAGTGGCGAAGGTTTCAGGTAATTTGACGTTAATGTTTTCGTCCTCATTTTGGTATATGACTTCTTTTAGTTGTTTCAAAGCCCATTCATACTGATCCTGTTTTTCATTGGTGAGAAAGCACATGGCGATAGTGAATGATCGATGGGTGTTGGTGGTTCCAACTATGTGTAAGAGAGGTAAATTGAAACGATTTGTTTTGTAAGTACAGTCCAAACTTAAAACCGTAGAAAATCATCGAGCCAATCGAATACCGGAGGTACTAGCAAAAAAAAGATTAAGAAGGGTGCCTTCAGGAGAAGTTAACGTGTGATGAGCCCAATGACTAGCGACAATGACATCGAATAAGCCTTGAATAGGCATCCGACCATTGAGCCAATTGTCCCTAAGGCGAGATCGAACATTGTGTATATCGCGAACTAACGGTTGAGAACCCGGATCCACATTGATGAGGGACTTGATTTGTGCTGTGCGACATCCTGCTGAAGAAAGGAGATCAATCTGAGTATTTGTTGAGGGATTGAATCTTCGGTAAATCGCCATATTGTGAGGGTTTTCAAATGCTGCGTGATTGTGAGTACGTTTGTTGGCATTCTTCGGGTCTTGACATACTACCCATCGGTCCACATTAGTTTGGTAATTGAGAGAAACTTGGAAAAGACACCCAGTCTTCTTTGAAGAAGAGGACCGTTTTTTAGCAACGGAGGCCACTTTATGACCAAGAGTGCATCGGAGATACAGTCGAACGGTGTGGTGATTAAGTTTCTTATGACTCTTGATGGCTACAGCGTACCCTTGGTGTCGAGCCACGGCGTTAAGGTACATCACGCCACTTTCCATCTCTATGAACTGTTTCCCGATTTTTGGTCCTTCTAGCAAGCGAACGGGAGTTGCTCCTGTTAAAAAAAAGGAGCAAATGTAAGCATGAATCACAAAAACACAAGAGTAACAGTACAAAAGGGAAAATGACCTATTGGAGGCCAATCTTGGTCTCGTTCATTGAAGTCTTCACCGATAAGATCGATTCCAGGTACATTCGCTTCAGGAACAGTTTCCGATAAGTTCAAAAGTGATTCTTTGCTCGTTGAACTTGCAGTTAACACTGCAGTTGTATCTGCAGTAATCGGAGCGGCGGAATCAGGGCTAGAAGTGACAGTCAAGGGGGTCGTGATGATAGGTGAAAGGCAATGTGTATGATGGCCGATTTGTGAACATGAATTAGTAGCAGATTTATGTTGAAGAGATGAGTGAGATGGAGTGTTTGACGGAATCCAGTGACCGTTTTCGACAATTGGAGGTGTTGGACGGGCGTGATGGAAGTAGTTTGTATGGTTTCTGTTTGGGTTTCCAGCATGTGAGGACATGCTGGGATGGTGGAAGATTGGAGCGCACATTGATCCGTTTGGAGGAAATGAGGCACCGTGATGGTACACTCCAGGAACTTGAGAGTGAGAGTAAAGTTGAGAGTACGGTGCGAAAGCTTGAGAGTACAATGATCCAGGTGGTTGAGAACAAGATGGGGTTTGTGAAGAAGGTGTTTGACAATACGAGACAGTAACTTGAGAGTACGGCGCGAAAGCTTGAGTGTACAATGATCCAGGTGTTTGAGAGTGCGACGATCCTGATCCAGTAACGTGAGAAGATGATGGTGTTTGAGAAAACAAGACAGGTGGTTGAGAATAGGAGACAGGTGGTTGAGAATACTGAACAGGTGGTTGAGAATACGGAATAGGTGGTTGAGAATGAGAATAGTAGTAAGGTGGTTGTGAATACAAGAGATGTGGAGGGAACGAAGGAATGTGATGACCACCTGAGGGATCTTGGCCAGCGTGAGGATTGGGTAATCCCGGAGGTGGATACCAAGTTTTGCGTTGAGGTGGAATGAATCCGCTCGGAGCTGCAGCTGCAGCTCCTTGACTTGGGTGGTTGAGTGGAGTCGAATGTACAGTTGGCAAAGTTACCGGAGGTGGGGAATCGGGGTTTTCGTGGGCCATCTCTACAGTGGTATATTCAAGATTTAAGGTTGTTGAACGCGTGGGATCTTCTGCTTTCAACTGACTGAATGAATTGGTTGAGATGGGAGTGATGAAGGGTTAGAACAGTGGATTGTGGGGTTGGTTGGTTTGGGTACGTTTGTTGGTTCAAGAGCAAGGGCAAGAGGAAGGTTCTGGGAAAGGTGTTTGGTAAAGGTGGGAGGTAGGGGAATGCCGTGCTGAGCATCATGAGGAGTATCATGATGCTCAGCACGGCTTTCGTTGCTTGAGGGCCGGCGAAATCGTGTGCATAAGGGCCGGTCCGGGCACGAAATAAGTTGGGCGCCCTTTCGATTTCTTTCTCGTTGTTTGTTACCCCATTGTAGATGAGCGGGCACCAAAGAGGGCAAATAGCAACAGATAGGAGGCTGCTTTGTAATGTCATGCCCTTTTTGGAAGCCCTCGAGGAGCCCTTGAGGTCCGAGCTGGCGAATTATAGGCTGAAAGTGATGGAATGTCGACGGGTCACACGGGTTTTTGGGTAAACCCGGGGGGCTCCGGATATCAGCCGAGGGGGCTGTAAATAGTGGAATCCAATCCCAACACAATTAGGGTGTTCAAACCTCAAAATCAATTCATGCAAGTTTTGTGCAAGTTCTGTGCAAGATATGAATAGAACTTGCACGGATCTTGCACAAAACTTGCAAGAGTCGGTCTCGCACGGTTTTTGCACGGTTTGGAACACAATAACTCGGGTTGTCAAAAAAATTACTGTGCAAGATTAGTGCAAAAAATCTTGCACGGATCTTGCACGGATCTTGCACGTCGGTCTTGCACATTTCTTGCACAGGTTTGAACACCCTAAATGATCTAAACATCTGCCAATAGATCTTACAACGGCAACATTTTCTGATCCAAACACACTTTACAAACCAAGATGACCTACTCAAAATACCTAAAACCTCCTCATACAATCTCACCCTGATCATTCAACTCATTCTTAACAAAACACTTGTATCAGTAACACGAACATTATAATTAATTAATGATTTCCAACCCACTCCCATCACTTTTGATAAGAACCCCAAAGAATTAACATAATATAAAACAAATACAAACGAAAACTCAATCAAAACTCATCAAACCAAAAATCAACACAAGAAACAGTCTCTACAAAATCTCTTCACCTTTTTTTTTAAAAAAAAAAGTCCTTTTCACAAATCATTCATTCATTTTTCTCCTCAACTGAGTCTAACACACATATATATTATTTTTTTAAAGATATATACTTTTTCAGTAAGTGATACTATTAGCAGGACTACTAATAGTAGACCTACTCTGATCACAATTCTCATTCAATTTATGCATCATTGCTTGTACAAAAACCTGAGGTGGTGGTGGTTGTTGTTGTGGTTGTTGTGGTGGTTGATAACCAGTTTGAGAATAATGAGTAGTAAACCCAAAATTATAAATCGGTTGTGATTCATAATGATTCAATGGTATGTAATCTGTTGAATCGGTAAAAGAGTTGTTATTCAAATTAGAAACATGAGCTTGGATTTCTAATTCAGGTGATCGGTTTTGTGAAGTTAAATAACTTGTCGATCCATTCTCAGTTAATGATCCTCCAGTCATAGTAGAACTACTGTTACTTGAAGAAGGAATAGAATAAGAAGTAATCAAACCAGACGAAAGAAGCGGAAGTGGTTCATTTAAATCTCGATTAGGAATCCCATCTTTCAAATATCCTCCTGATTCATCAAAATTACTTCTGGTTGGTAATGGTAAAGGTTGAGGAGAAAAGTATGTGATCATGTTATGAAGTTGATCAATCGATTCTTCATCTTCACTTCCTCCAGGACTCAAACCTGCTGTAACAAAACTAGAAAGAAATTGAATCGTAGTTTCTAATCTACCTCTATCAATTTCATTCTCAGCCTTCAAACTCGAAATGGTGATACGTAAGATTTCAATCAAATAAGGAAACGATCCTCTTAAAAGTTTCAATAGAAAGGCATTGGTTGGATTTAATTGTTCACCAGAAGCGGCCGAAAGAAGTGCTCCAGCTGCTTCGGTCGTAGCGATTTGTAACATCTCAGGAGTATGATTCGTACTAGGTTGAGTTGGTAAAGTATGATCACCTATTAAGATTTGTTTAAAAGGATGTACTCTATTCAAAGCTAGAATACTAAGACTAACAGCAAGAGTAGCATTCGAGTGTGGATTATGAGTCAACTTCATCTTTTCAAGTAAATCGGTTCCATCTTTTGACGAAAAGTTAGGTCGAAGTAATTGACAACGTCTACGAGCGAGATCCGCAAGCCAATTCGAAACATAATCGATCTCGTTCTCAGACGTACGTTTATGTCTAGATTCTTCTTTGTTTAATGTAGAAAGGATATCAATGAACTGAGCTGAATTGACTAAAAACCGACCAGCCCATCCATGAGCAGTCCGACCGCATTCAGGAAGAGTCGGTCCCAATCGTAGTATAGCCGCAACAGAAGTGTATGGTAAAGGAAGTGAGAGCGCAGTCCAGGTTCGAAAGAGTGTAAGGAGCCAAAAAAGTCCATTGAGTTGACTATCATTACTGGATGTGTCTTCCACACGTGCTCTTTTTGAATGACCCTTACCCCGCTTTGCAGCCTGAGAATAAAGGGTAGCTTGTCGTGCAAGAAGGTGTGCAACACTAAGATATGACCAACCCGCTCGAGGTTGTTTATCAACAGTCCGAAAAACTCCAAGTAAGACAAGTGCCTGTACTGTCGGAAGTGCATCATGAGTTTCCCAAAGTGTACGTTTCATGAGTTCTTCTTCGGCGAATTCAAAATAAGGCATATAACACCGATCATCCAGTCCATCTTGAGCTCGACTGGTAGGATTCCTTCGAGGCTTTTCAAAGAGACTCCAACCTACGACTGTAGCGACAAGAGCCGGATCTGAGGTTTGTAAACCACCTGGACGGAAGATCTGATCATGATTGAAGAGCCAACCAAACGGGTTGGCTGCCAAGAATCGAGAATAAACCCGTTGTAGTTCACGTGGAGTATGATGTTCGAGTGGATTTATTGAAGGAAAAGGATTTCCATCTGGTGGTATATTTCCACCTCGATCACATTGAAGCATTTGAAAAAATACACCTTCATGAGATGTTGCAGGGTGATCATAAAAGTTTGGTGCTGATGGATTTCCGCATGTGATGAAAGAGATAATATCGGCTAGCATAGTATTATAGAGATCAGCTCTAGTGATGCTAGAATATTCGAAAGTCGCATCTTCAAAAGTAGGAATAAATCAATTTAAGCTGCAAGGAACGATGTGGTCATAGAATGTATAGATTCGCTCACCTGCTGGCTTTGGATTAGGGCACTTGTGAAGCATGAATTCAAGGTGACATTGAACTACACCACCAAGTAGACAGCCTTTGAAGTGTTGATAGATAGCATCAACCTCTGAATCGTGAATCAATTCACGAACTTCAGCTGATGATTCGAATGCAGCCATGAGTTCTGGTGATTGGGGTTCGTTGCTCATCATCTTTGGCGCATAATCTGATTGAAATAATAAGGCTTGTATCAGTCTTTTGTCTTGAACCGACGATGGAAATATAATCACTCACTTGGATGCCCATTTTCAATCTCAATTTGATCTTCTTGACGAAATTGGAGCATTGATTGGGAAGAGATTGGGTCTTTGAAACCAAACCCTGTGTTCATCTCAAAGGAAAACCCCATAGGTATAGGTGCTGGTGGTAATAGAGGTGGCTGAATAACCTCCGAACTTGAGGCTATCGGTTGCGCGTTTTCTTCCAGAGATACTTGAGTGATCGGGAAGTGTGGCTGAAAGGGAGTAGGAAAAGCTTCGAATAATGGGGCGCCCATCTTTGGTGCAGGAGAGTAACCAGAAACTTGACGACTCTCAGGTGCAGAGTATGATGATAGGGGTGCTCGGTAAGCCAACGTGGATGGCACGTGAGAAGAGCCGAATAAAGAACTGTTTGAAAGATCTGTTCTGGAATCTTTCCATGCTGTAAGTCGAGAACAAGAAAATTCTTAGTAAGCTCATATTATTATCCAAGAGAGTGCTTCCAAATTCACTGACCAAGAGCATTGTCTAGAATATCAGCAGGAGGATCCGGAAACCTATGAGTCGGTTCTGGAATCTGACGAGCAAAACTAGTAGGAGGATGTTCCCAAACTCGATGAAAGTTTGCAGTAAATCCTTGAGGAAAGAATGGTGGGATTGGCTGAGGTGTTGGACTATCTTCATTTCGAGGATATTTTCTAGGTCGACCCATAGCGGCTGTTGGATCGTATTGACATGGTTGATTTCTATTACGACAAGCTGTGCATCCCTCTTCGATTTCACCTGAGCAACGTATCTTTCGTGACTGAGGATCAAAGGAAGTCGTAGAAATTGTTGGGTGGAACATGTTTGACATTTTATCGTAAATCGTAAATTGGTATCGTAAAAAGAACGTTCAGAAGGAATGAAATTTTCTCCTGATCAGCTTTCCCAAACACTTCAAATCATGAATCGTATACAAGATAAACGTAGCCAAGGCAAAACAAGAGATAGGATAAGGTATCAGAAGGTAGCTTGGGAATAGCTACTATGAGAAAGGAGATGATAAAGATATAGCTGGCAAAGTCAGTCTAGATCTAATCAAGAAATACTGTATGTCCTTAACGGCCACAGCACTAAGCAAATGAATGATGAAAGCAATTCTCCTTTGTCGTTCGATCAAACTGCGGATCTTGATCCATAGCGGTTGCATAATCCTTTGCGTAGTATTTTTCAATCTTCATGAAGATTATTTATAGAAAAAAAAAACCACAAAATCAAAAAATCAGATTGAAGGAAATGCATATAAGTACCCTACAAAACCGGCATGATTTCCTAAGCTGTTTTCCGTTGATGGAATCTCCATTGAGACTTTGTGAAGATTCGGGTTGAGAAGTAGAAAATTTGTATTCTGCCATTGGCTGTCTCCGTCCGCAGTGTGCAAGTTCGATATCACGAATAACAAGAGCCGACCGAGGATGATGATGATTGTTTGTTACTTGGTGACTCCTTTAGGATGACTCCTTTGCGGAAGGTTGGAAGTTCAAAACTCAGGTCACCCGGGCCCTTTTTTTGGAAAGTGAGACGAGCGGAGTGAATGATTATGAGGGGAAGAGACCGAATCAACCAGCAAAGGAAGGGAACTTTAGGAAATAAGAAAACACAGATTGAAGGAATATTTTTTTTGGTAAAATCACCGATCAAGCGAGGCTATAGGGTGTAAAGGATGGAGTTCAAACAGATTGGATGGTACGAGTGAATTTTTTGAGTGTAAAATCCGGACAAGTAAAAGGAGAGGAAAAAGCGCTTGACTGCACTGACGCAGGAAATCAGATTGAAAAGGTAGAATGAGATGGTTGATTTCTACAAATTTAAAGATGTTGGACAACGAAAAAAAAAGGCGAGGAGTAGAGTCAGCGGATTATCCTTGTAAGGATGGACGGAAGGAACCCTTAAACTGGACTGATTGAAGGACAGACGGTTTGACTTTGAGATCTGGCAAGATGAAGTAAGTGGTAGCAATGGTAGATTATTACGGAGGGTTTGATGCCGGTTGGGGTGTCGTGAAGATGATGATGAAGTGTAAAGTGGGGGAGGAGATGACAAAAAGTATGGACAAAAGGTTGTTAAAGGCTTTGAATGGATGATTGCAGGCGGAATAAAAATTAGATAGGTGATGATGAGTTTATGACAGTGATTGATTTGATAAGTGAATGAAATGATTGGCTACTTGAAAAACTCAATAAGCCTATCAAATGCCAACAATTCAGACTTTTTTAAAGCTCATCGTCAGTTTTCAGTTTTCATCCTACTGAACTTGACACCCTCTGGACTCTGGACACACTTCACTCCAGCAAGAGCTAGTCTGATGAAAAAGACTGGATATTCGGTGGGATGAACTGAGGCTGAGCTATTTCGACCTAAGAGGAATGATAGTTAAAGAGGTTATAGTGATTTGTACCTCAGCAACTGTTTTGAACTCGAAAGCTCGATAAAGAAGTTCTAATCCGTACAAAACTTTCTGTGGATAAAAGACAGAGATAATAATCATAGATTACAACACCAGAGAATGAAGACCTGATCTAAGCTTTGATGTGTGTCCAGGTTAGTGAAGTCTTCTCACATCCTTAGCTGTTCAAACTCAGATAATCAAGTTCTTATGAGTTGATGAGCCGATTTACTGATTCATAGCTCTATCTCTCTCCTTCTATCTTGATTACAAAACAATCAGGTAGACTATGAGATGTTTTACAAAACCGAGAGAGAGAGAGAGAGAGAGGATGAAAAGTAGTTGAGCAAAGTATCACCACCGAGCTATGGCAGATGAAGATGATTCGCTATAAGATGATGATGTTGATGATAGTAATACGATACATGAGTTAAGGATGAGTGATGAGTGATGAGTGATGAGTGATGAGAAATTGGTTGTGAAGAATTTTTGGTAATCGACGAGCTAAGACATTCGGGATAAACATTCAACTCGGTTGGGCGGTCAACAAGGTTCGTCTCAAACTCTAGTCTTGCTCAGTTCGTTCCTTCTTCAACATCTGAGCCATAACCGATGGTTTCTACATACCAGATATGTACATATAAGAGCTCTAGCTTCCCTGTAGTATGGTCCTTGTAAACTTCATTTCATCAAACGATATATATCCAGATCAAGCTCCAATTCAATTCTTGAACATTTCTCAACGTCTTCTATTGATTCGGAAAGCCGGAACCGGTCATCGATGCGACTGCGAACTTCAAAGCTTTGTCATTAACTTCAACTTCTCATCACCAAAATGAAAACTTCAATCAGATCATCAGTCTTCAAATTACTCAAACATCCTATGTAAGCCAAATCCTTGTTCCATCATCATCACTCACTTGATGACGGCAATTTATTCAAATTTGAAGATATACTCGCTGTGAAGTAGTAAAATTATCATGACCTTAATGTACTTCTTCTTACGAAAACAATTGAAGTACTTGGTATTCAATTTTCATGTTTTGGAAAGTATAGACCAATTTGGCTTCACAAGATTTTGTAAGATATTAAAAATTGACTCATATAGAAATACCAAATAGGCTGATCCCGAACAGGTCTACATATCATTGAACAAGAAAGTTTTCAATTTAAGTCGCGTCCTACAGTTTTTTACAACGGGCAAGACGGTCAGGAAAGTATAAGGGATGATGTTGATGTCAGACTGTGAGTTGATTTTTGTGATCTTATCAACTACGATTGAAATATTGTAAGTCGTCGGGAACGATGGGTCCAAAACAAGTGTGGCCCAATCATCTAGTCCTATTTCTTCAGCTCCGAGGGAGAGAGGGCTCAATGTAACTATTTGAGATGAAGTAAGTGAGAGTGGGCGCTCCGCCTCTTTCTGAGACTTTGAATTTGATGCCTAACCTCACGAGAGCATAAGTTTTCTTCAGTACATCATACTACAATAAAGCTCCGTTAGTCGTAGGTGGAATTTGATTCGATGAACAAAAGAGTTTTGGACCATACGTTTTACATTTCGTGATCGTCACAGGCTTTTTTTTCAAAGAGGTGTATGTACACTTTTTTTTATGATGATGGCACATGATGATGAGATAATCCAAGTTATCCATGGACCGTGCACTTTTCCACAATGATGGATTTTGGCAAGAAATCTTCTTGTTTTCGTTGTCAAGTGAAGCTAAGGAGCTTTTCGTTTTATGGGGTATCCTATAGATGCTTACCATTTTCATGTAAGGTACAATAAGAGACCTCTAGATTACCGATATCCTTTTTGCATTGAACGGATCTTGAGGGAAGCGAGAAAAGGGAACAAGTAGCAACAAGATACCCTCAGCTGGATCTTACGGTTTCAAATTCCATGAACCAGACCAGCATCTTAAGCGAATCGAACTAGACCTCAGGCATCGATCTCATCTGATGATGTCAACACACTCTTTTCTCACTGATGAACACCAAAAAAGAAGTGACATGGATAGCGCCTTTACCAGCTTTGGTTCAGCACTGGGCCTACATTTTCAGTATTTTTTTTGGAAAAGTTGAAATCAGCTTGTAAAGATCAACAAGCAACATGAAAACCAGAAATAAAGACTCAATAAAGTGAGGAATAATCTCTTTTTGGACCATGTGTTTAGAAGATACATAGCAATGATGTTGATAATTGAAGATTGAGGGACATACCATCATGACCAATAAGAATTGTTTTGAAAGCTAGATAACATGTTGAAGCCACATGGGTTTTGCGAATACTGATGATAATTAAACTCGAGATCACATACACTTTGATAAGATATTGAATCCCATCTTTGACCCCCCCAAAAACTCATTTGCCTTACCAAGACTTTCACAAACTTCAGGTCATCGTGCAACAGACTTATGTTGTAGTAATAGGCATGAAGGGTTCAAGACTGTTCAACTTTACTTGTCATATTTCTAAGATCCAAAATCACATATTCGAAGTCATCTTGGGTATGGAGAAATTGATTTGACAAGTTAATCTGACCGGAAGTTCGGGCCTAGGTCAATTGTGCTGTATGAAACATGAGAAAATGATAACTTTTCGGTGAGAGCTTCCACATTGGCTCTTCATGAAGGATCAGATTTGAGAGTAAGCCAACGGGACCTTGTGGCTGCCAATCCACTTCAGGATGGTATCATTACAGAAAATCTTCAGCTTGCACACATCTTCAGCATCTTGAAAGTCTCAACACCACGAGCAAACATGTATGCAAAACACTTCTTTAGAATGATCCAACTTGAAATGCATGGAATCTATATGAAGTTTGCATCCAGTTAAACCAAGTGAAGCAGAGAATGAAATTACTTCACACTTTGTACGCTGCTAAATGACTCTGATCATTTCTGTCCAGAACCCCGAAACTGATGAATCAACTTTCTATCATCAGTGCCAAAAAAATTGTCAGAGTCATGATCATCAACAATAAAGAGTAAGGAGGCAACCCTCTTGATACAAATACTTGTTAAACGAGAAACTTGGCGTCAATTGAGTTTACAATTCCATCGGGTAATTGTAAATTTCTCTACATCACTCAAAAGAGGAAAGAGATTATAAGGGTATCAAAGCAAAAGTGCAAAACATGAAAAAACCATCAAACTCTTCAACTTCTTGGCCAAACAGATTGTCTTTCAATTCGATCCATAGCTTCGATAATCAACCGATCATCACCTCTTTCCAAAACCTTAAACTTCCAACTCATCCCTCTCCATAACCTATCCAATCCAATCGCTTCATCAAATCTTTTCTCATCTACTAATATATTTAATAAGATCCCAACATTATGAGCAGGAATTAAAATATCTAATTCGATAGCTTTTTGTAAAGATTCTTTTGCTGCTTGAATATCATATACTAATAGCTTTTCATATAATTCAGTAGCCATTTCACTTTGTAGTGACGAAGAATCAAGTTGAGAAATCCATTTACGTTCAAGTAATTCTTCATCAATCACTGAATCATCATCATCATCATCATCAGTAATCCTAGTGGTATCAGCCATATACTCCATAAATCGGTCCTTTAACTTTCCAGCTTCCTTTGGGCAAAGTCCAGAATAAGATAAACAAGCTACTGTAGATTCCAGTAATGGTCTTAACTCTGATCTAGTTTGTAATTTAATCGGCTTCATCTTTTGTAACTGATTTAAAATACGTTCAAAGACTGTGATCTCAAGTTCCGATTTCCAACGATTCCAAACCAACCGAAACAATTTCATCGTTTTTTCTACATTACCAGGTGTAGGACGTCTACGAGCCAATCGTTCAATCATCCTGGTGATCTGTGCAGGATAAATTCTTTCGTTTTGTCTTTCTTCTGTAATTTTCAAAAGATGTCCAATCAATGAAACATCTGCCATTTGTATAGCTTTAGTTTCAAGAGCTTTAAAGAAGATTCCAGATGAATCATAACCCGAAGACGAGATATGTTGATATAATTCAGCTCCTAATTCTGGATGAGTTAATAAAGCTTGATCTAATAATCTTTTTAAATTAAGAGTAGGTAATGCTCCAAGACTAGTGATATATCCGTATCTAGACATAGATTGAAAGACTATCAAAGCTAAATCTAATTCATTCCATCTCATTAACCAACGCATTAATCGAAATGCTTCAACAGATTTTCCAGGATGTGATTCGATTTTTTTCTTTGCATCTGGGCAAAACATCCTAACCATCTTGTCTCGAGGGAATAAACTAAGAATGGACGTTTGTAAGAATTTGCTCCGCTTTTGATGATGCGTGATATTTTTTGCTGATTGATATATAGCTCGTAACATGATATCATCTAATTCAGATGCAGGTACAAATCCATTATCCAACATATTTTCCCTCATTTTCAAAGCTTCTTGTAAATCAAAGTCTATATCTTCCTCCGGTAGGTCAACAGAATGTCGGCGATCAATGATGGCTTGAATGGCGTGAGTGAAGATGGCGAGGTTCAAAGGTTGATTTGACTTTTGGTAGAGTGCTTGATGGGCAAGATCTGAAGCACGTTGCATTCTACCATTTTGTGATTCGACAAGAGCAATTTGTTGATGTAGCCAACGTGCAGCCATCGGGTGATCTAAATTTGACTGAAGATGAATAACCGAATCCCATTCAGACTTTGATAAATACATTCTTCTCAAAAGCCGAGACAAAAAGTCTTGATCGGGGTATAAATCACCCTTGCTGATCATTCGAATAGCTAATTTGAGACCGCTCATTCGGTGATGAATCTTGTTTCGAAGGATAATCATGATCATAGTGCCTGTTTCGATACCAGCTGAATCGGGAAAAGAGCTCGCATTGGGATCTTCATTTGAGTCACACGCTCGTCTTCGACCGATCAAGTAAGCATAATAGATTTTTCTCATCATCTTCAAAGGTTGTCCGGGTTGATGAAACAAAGCTAAAAATCTAGCATATAGACCAAGTACACGAAATGGGATAGCATGGGCTAGGTCATCAGAAGTGGTATTGGTAACATCATCCAATTTAGGCAATCGACAAATGATTTCGGAAATGTGGTTTTGAGCGTCGATAAGTTGGGTTTGAGGATTTGAATCCACTGTGACTAGATCTGATTCAGCACTGTCACGTAAACGGAAGGCAGCAGCGTGGATTGAAACTTCAAGTTGTCGGATGACTTGATCGTGCGAAAATTTTCGACCGAATGAGTTGAATAAACCTTCAATTTTTGAAATGCGCACATCTCTGGAAACCGCAGAACATGAACCATCGTATGCAGCCAGGTTAAAGAGGGAATTGTACACTCGAGTAGCAAGCTTAGACTTTCTACGAGGTGATAGTCTTTCAAAGCAGCTGACAGCTAATTCAAAGTCGCCATTCGAGATGGCAGTTGTCAAGTCTTGAGCAGATTCTGTGATCGGTCCATCAGCCCATGGCTTTTTCTTCGATTGGAGTAAGTGCGGTGGTGTTGCCCGATCGAAGAAAGCCGGTTTGGCGGTTTCCTGAAATGGGAATCAAGTTGATTCAGTGACCAATAGGAAACATGTGTTGAAAAATAAAACTGACATAAGTACTTGTGACGGAGCTCTGCTGTTCTATGGGAATGGTTGGGGTCCGAAAACTAGGGCGCTTAGAGCTCTCCCCTTCTTGAATTAAATCAGAGATAGCGTAGCAACTTGCCGACTGCATATGAAGAGCTTTAGAATAGTTCCTTTCCAATTTTCCTGAGTCTTGATGGCTTCGATTGTTGAGCAAATGTAGAGAAAATCCAGCGCTAGTCCCCAGAAGCGGCGTTTTTCGGCGTCTTTGATCGATAGGGAGAGGTAAAATGCATGCTGAATGTGGAGAAGGAAGAGCTGATGGACCAGAAATTGGAAGGTTGATCTGATTAGGTTGCGAGGCAATGATTTTGTGAGGATGGGTCCACTTCCAAGTTGGCTTCATACCAAGCTCTGAGAGAATATCTTGATGTGAATGTTGATTGCTTGTTAGCGCATTAATCGTGATTAGTTTCAACACATTCGTCGTGAGCTGATTGCTGAGTACCTCTTGAAGTTGATCGATTGCAGTTTACCAAAATCTTGGAAACCTCTGACTTTTTTTGAGGTTTGAACCCAAGGAACCCGATACATTTACAAGACCCGTTCCGAGCTCACGGGCACAGGATCAGGGCTATGAGTTTACCCCACTCCATCCCCGAGATCAAATGGTCCGTTCAAATTCCCCTCCCTTGGATTCTCAAGTACCCTGCTAGATAGAATTCACATTCAAAGGATATGAAGTCAAACAAACCTCTCAGCACGGCAATCATTCCCCTACACTTGTTGTTCCCAATTGCTACATATACATATAGCAGCCATGTTTTGGGTAGCCATGAAGGAGTTTGAACCAATATTTCAACGAGTCATTTCCAAGAATCATTATTGCTCAGTTATCAGATAAATCTGATCAACATCAATCCATTCTTATTGATTCAGCCTATCAACAAAAATCACTGGAAAACAAAGATACATATGCGTGATCTAGGAGTCAGGACAGAACTGGTCCAAAGAGGCATTGCATGGGCTTTAATTCACCAAGGCCTAGTGTCCTGAAGTTGTGGGTGGACTAATGCACACTTATTTTTCACTTTTGATATGACATCAACTTCCACGACAACAATAAGAGATCCCAGTTGACCACGTGGAGATTCCTTTGAGTCCTTATACAGATGAACATACTCTATGAAACTGGATATTTTCTGAGTAGATTGACAGTCTTGACTGAAACACAAATTATACGTTGGGTATAATTTTACTTACGCTATCTGCTTTTTCACCTCAACAATATGTGGAATATCAGTAATTCATTTTTGAACTTTTTCGTGTTTATCCTGAGTCGGATGAGAATTTCAAAAGATAGGAATTGAGAGAATCTCTTACAAGAAAAAAGAAGCACACTTCAATTGATCAACACAAATAAACACTAAAATCAACCATGATCACAAGGATTGATGACATCCTTTAATTTTGGAAAAGTGACTCCTTCCAACAGTTCATCAATACCAAGCCTACGAGCTTCATCCAGTTCAGCTTGGTTTTTGACCAAAACCATTCCAGCACCTACACCAAGGCTATTGATCGATAAACCATTTGATAAAAAACACTCTCGTGATCGTGGGATCAGGATCATATATTTACTTGTCATTAAAAAGTTATATGATAGTTCTTGAGGTCGAACATGAGGTGAGTTCTCCTGAGAAGCAAGGTGACGAAGATGATCAATCATCGAGTCCAACATCGTCATGAAGTATGTTCCAAGAGTAGCTTCTGTTTCCTCGTCGTTAGGTTTTGAACTCAAGCTTGATGGGATTGCGCAGATAAAATGTGCATATCCTAGCTCTTTTACGTTGTAGACGTCACCTGATGAAGCAACAAAGTAGAAGATCAACATCACATGAACGTAGAAGCGAAATTATTATCATTCTGATGAGTTGAAAACACTTAAACTCGCCTAACTTCACAGGGGCCGAGCGCGCGATGAGCTCTCCAAACTTATTTTCACCAGCCTGAGCAGGGATGAATTGAAAGCTGGTCAAGTTTCAAAGGTCAGTACTTACACCCGGATAATCCATGTATGTTGTAACGTACTGCTTGTGGGGTTGACTGAGCCATAGATCGAGTGGTATGTGATGGGTTATGAGTTTTAATTTCAACTCGCCGCATCATTTGAGGAATATACTGAGAGGGTGTAGCAACTTACGATGCCCCGCTATTTGGACCGCAATTATAAAAAGCCAGCCATTCGGAAGTAGGATCGGAAACTAGGGCTTGTTGAAGCAAGACGTAAATAGCTACTAGATCCTCAGGTGTTGGTGGAGTCTTCTGAGATTTGTATTCTGAACATAGGATAGGCAGGTGATGTTCATCAGGATAAGTTAAGCAAGGATTTCATTTCGATATCACGATTTCGGCTAACCTTTGGTCACTAAGAGGAAATGACGAGGGACAACACAGAACTTATTTAGCAAAACCACGTAACCCTCTTCTCCTTCGCTATCCTCAGACTGAGAAATCAACAGTTCGGGAATGTAAGGAGGAGCAAATGGGTCGACCGTATGTGAAGGTACTTCCGAAGACGGAATCGAAACTGGCTTCTTTGCCAGCGAAGGTGCATACCTTAACTCACACTAATTGACAGAAAACATGTTAAACGATTCTAGAAATCCGTCCCATTGAGGATCATTGAAAACGAAACCTTTGAGAATACCAACCGGGACGCCAGCCCGTGAATCAAGATGAAACACCTCGGTAGGTATATAGACCAAGTTTTTTGACTCTGATGCACTCTCGTGTCTGCGCTGCAAATCGCTGATAAAATTGGGAAAGTGCATCGTAGAGCGATGGAGAAAGAAGGAATTGGGTGTACAATGCGGTGACCGGTTGTCTCCCTGAAGGGGCGATTATCCGAAAGGTCAGTCAATCCCCTTCTAATCACATACCTGTACAAGCCCTGTAAACGTCTGGAGTCTGGAACCGGTTTTAGGCCATGGTCTTTTGCTTTGAAAAAGTCATTTTGAAGGGACACGTTTCTGGAGTTTTGAATACCCAATTTAGAGACCGCATTCTTGGAAATGGTGCGGAAACCTTTACCTGGAGTCATACACAAAAGTGGCAATGGGGTTGAGAAATCAACACACGGTCATCTAGCAGTTGTGCAAGCTTAAAGCTGATTTTTCTCCGCTTGGCAGATGGCTTCTCAGCTCCAATCCCTATGGAGGTAGTTTTGTGAGTGACATTTTTCCCCCTTAAATGAATTGCAAGTAGGTGCAAGGTTGTCTTTCAGATTGTATTTCTTTGCAAACGTCTTCGAGGTGTTTGGTCAGGCATTCAAGCTCGGCGTATTTGGTATTGCTATCGCCCTTGGCTTCGTCAATGTGCCTGGCCCGGCGGGCACGCATACACAATCTGTGCTTTCCATCATTGCGAAGATGGATACACAGCGTATCCGATATGCATGAATTGAAAAGTGTTTTCATTGTTAAATAAAAAGAATAAACAAATGTCCTTATATAGCAATCTCGATGCTTGCCATTGCCATTGAGGAAAATTGATTTTGAACAATCAACAAGATGTAAGAACGGATTTAGGATTTCATTGGACTTTGAAACGAAGAAGGATATCCTAAAAAGTTGATAGAATTTGAAAGCAAAGATTTGATTACAAAAGACAAAGCAGTGCGATCAAAGATAATTATAAAATTTGATCGGGTTTGTCAATTCTTCAATGAGAACTTACAAAAGATAAGTGATTATGTTGGTTGAATATCTTAACTTGGACGCGATGACTTCAAAGTACACCTCTTACAATCAGTACCATTCCGAATTTGGTATTTATCAAAACTCCCCAATGAAAAGTAGTACTTCATCAATCCTTTGGCTTTGGGTTCCGTTTTATATGCCATATAAATGTGTCACCATCTGATTCATCATTCCGCATTCCTCATCTTATCTTACTTTATTTTTATCATCCAAGTCATCCATTTCACTATAAAAGTATTCGTATTACTCAAACTTCCCTCAAAAGCTCTTATCTCATCAATTCATCAACTTCATAGAAACAAGAAAGATGTCTCTCACTAGCACAACCGAGTCAGACTCTTTGAAGGATAGATTGATATCCTCCAATAAAGAGGCTCAATGTATATTTGACATAGACGATCCACGCGACCGAAGATCTCAATGTGAGGATATCTTTAACATTTACGTACTTGAACTATTGAAGTGTCGACTAAATTTCTCTCACCTTTCTGTTATATTGGACTTAGATGATTTGGTCGAGGAATTCCAAAGCAAAAAGTGTAGCAAGGAGGAACTCGAGGAACTCAAGTCTTTGTGTTACCAGGTGAGACTTTTGTTTTTCATCTCATATGTTGAATTATTCAATCCTAATGAGCTATATCGTTTTCTTTCCGACCCCTTTGTGGATCTATTTGTCAGAGACTTCAATTGCTGATAGGCATCGATGACGATGATGATGACGATCATGAGGAGAGTCTCGATTTGGCAATCGAGCACTTTCAAGGGATACTAGGTCATCGTCAACTCATCAAAGACAATACCCGTGCCATAAACTTTAGCTTTGATACCAACACAGAACAAGAAGCGCCTTCACGGAAGGAAAAAACTAAACAGCTTCTTAAGAGTGTTGAAGATCTCTTCCAAGCAGTCAATCCTCAATCCATCACCGACTTTCGTTGGGAAGTAGCAATGTTCGTTTGTGGAAGGATTTTCGACATTGATCTCTTTGATCCGAAAGGTCTTTACTCGATTCCTTTGAAAAACTGTCTTCGAATCGTTTCTACTTTTACCAATTTGGTCACTTTTCAATACAACTCACGTGATAGTCATTCAACCTTTGAAGAAGTGGTTTCCCAAACAGTTGCAAGTTTACCTAATCTTGAAGTCCTTGTGATTGCTCGTGAAGAGAATAATGTGAGACGATGGTTCGAGAATTATGAGCCCGACCTTGCTTACGAAGAAGAAATTAGCAAATTGATGGGTGATTCACTTAACTTATTGACCAAGCTCAAGAGATTACATTTGCAAGGGCTCATCGCACCACGTTCAGGATGGGGCAAACTAGATTGGAAGTGCCCTGTAGAGTATCTCAAGGTGACCGAGTGTCCTAGACTTCATGGACCGTCTATATTCACTTTGGCACAGGCTTTCCGGAAAACGCTCTTAGGCCTACTGATTGGTCCCAACATAGATCTAGTACCTGAAATCGATCAGCCCAACATGGAGTTTGGCAAAGAATTTGAGGTCTTAGAAGAGCTCTCGGTGCGAGTTGATCTAGGACGTCGTGGTGAAGAGCAAAAGCTGGTGGATAGCATGTCTCAAGCTCCGAAACTCAAACACTTTGACATTCATCGGACCCATACCGATCTACTCTCTCGCGTCAAAGAACAACTCGAACAACCCGAACCAGCTTGGCCAAGTCTTCGAACCCTTGGACTTGATCATGGTGTCGGGAAAATAAAGTTGAACTTGGGTCTACTTGACAAGAAACTGAAGGATGTGAAAGAATATGTTTCCCATAAGTTTGGTGTATTAGATGCCGAGTGGGCTTGGCCGACCAGGTATGATCACACGGACCGATATGGGTATGGCAAGATGACGCTTTCTAATGGTAGGGTAGTTGAAGTTAAAGCCCTAGATCTTGATTTCGGAGAACGTACCTCGTTACAATATAGAGATACTGCCAAATTGATATCTCAATTGTCCCCTTGAAACCACCCCTCTGTGATTCTTGATATGTTGTTTTCTTTCAAATCTTTTTCTTTCTTTTTCCACTTTGTCATTTTCGAGAATCATGGAAATGATCCTACCTTTTAAAAATGTAACTCGATAAGACCTTTTTGTATTCCACCTTCTTAGCGTAATAAACATAATCAATTCTTCTGTGGGTGAACTTAATTGACTTGTAACTTGCAGATATTTGCTAGAGAAACAAAAATCTGTTGGATCAGGAGCAGGGACTGACTACCGCGTGCCGTTATACACTTCTCAAAACTCTCGGAGACCTCTGCCATATGACGTTCATTCCTTTATTCCATAAATAGACGGGTTTGAATTCTGCAAAATGGCAATTATTGAGATCTTCCTCGAGCATGAAAGGTTTTCGAATAATGCAGTGACAAGGTAAACATTAAGAAGAAAATTGTGTGATAAGGTCAACACAAAATGAAATGTCCAGAAACATGGTAGCAAACATGATAGCGACTTTTCAACTTGATACTGGTATTCTAATTGCGGCCTCATAATTGATGCTCTTTGCGGGGTTTCTTGGATGCTTTGAAATGTGAAGAAGAAGTGACTTGGAGACTCCATCTCAGTAGGCGTCCAGTTCCACAAAATACGAAAAAGGAAATAGATGATGATGTGGTAAATACAACAGGAGAATGTCAGAGACATTGCGACAAGTGTTCCATGGCCGGACCTGGTACTGCTGGATCCGGTCTATGATGATTATAAGGAAGTGGAAACAATGGTCAACGAATCCTAGAGGATTTCGTCGAAAAGAAAAGCACAGATACAAATATTGAAAAGAACACAAATGTGCAAAGCGCGCTTCCAAGAGAGGATCTTTCTTTGTCATCTTTTTTGTTTTGTTCGCCGTCTTTCGCTCGACTGTCACACTCGCAGGTGTCAAAGATCTGAAGGTTACATGTTGACATAAATGACCGGTTCGGGTATTGGATTGCAACTTCAAAGTTCAAAGAACTCTCGAACCCTTCAACTTGCCAAGATATCAGGTAACCACCAATCGCATCCAACCTTGCTATTTAACTACTCAAACATATCAACAAGTTCGATCATCTTCAGTATTATCAAGTTTATATCATCTCAATCAATCAAACACAATGATTAAAGTTGAGTCTGGTATTTCTCGTATGGAAGGAGTATGTTGGCAGCTAGCTTGCCGGTGCAAATGGATTGACTAACCCATCACAATTGATTCGCTTTAATTCGCTTCAATTCGATCAAATCATAGATCTGGTCCCTCAAAAAAGCCGACCAGGAGGCTGCTAAAAAGAAGCCAAAGACTAGTGCAGCCCAAATCCGGGTTCAAAAAGGTGAATCGATGATAATCATCTTCTCTTTCTTAGGTCAACTGTGAGGGCAAACAAACTCAACGAATCTTTGTCATGCAGATATTACCGAACTCGACCTACCGTCAACGATGACCACTCACTTCCCTGATCCAGCCGATCTCCTCAACTTTACACTTACAATCAACCCAGATGAGGGTGAGTCACTTTTATCTTGACTTTGGTCGTGGTCCTATAGCTAATGTATTACTGGATGTCTTTTAGGCATGTACAAAGGCGGATCCTTCATCTTCAGTTTTGTTATCAACTTAAACTACCCTCATGAACCTCCCAAGGTCAAATGCACACAAAAAGTACGTATCCTTATATGCTCCATTTCGATGGCTTCATACTTCATGAAAGACACGAACACCAAATTCTTGATAATTTTGGCTGATTCGACATACCCATTCATCACCAGATTTATCATCCGAATGTAGATGTAGAAGGCAACGTCTGTCTCAATATTCTAAGAGAAGATTGGAAACCAGTGTTGAACTTGAACGCCGTGATTGTTGGTTTACAATACCTCTTCCTTGAGCCAAACGCAGATGATCCACTTAACAAAGGTAAGCTTGACGACTACAGACAGTACAAGTTTGATCCTCGTTTGAATTTCTACTTATACGTGATGCTACATTTCAGAGGCGGCGAATGATCTACGAGCTGATCGATCAGCATTTGAGCGTAATGTAAGGAACAGCATGGCAGGAAAATCTGTCCGGGGGGATGTGTTTGACTGCGTTTTGAAGCGTTAAGCTCAATTTGATCATCTTAAGATAAATTTCTGGAGTGGATGAATTCATATCTCCTTCATGTGTCGTTAAATATATTCCGTGACATTTTCATTCTTACATTATCTTGACTCACTACTAGATCTCAAGCCTTGATGAATGGATACGGTATCTTTTAGACTTATGGAAGTGTAATAATCGTCACAGATTCACTCAGGTCACCTGTTTTCTTATTCCCCTTGAAATTTCTCCTCATTACCTGTAGATTATCACAATGTTGCAAAGAAATGACAAGGAGGCTAGGGCTGTACTCAAGGATTGAAGGACTTGTGCCAATTTTTTATGTATGCATCATTTTTGAGTCAAGAGAAACACATTCATTTACCACGCGTTTTAGTTAGTACAGGGTGAGTGTTTCATGCACTCACTTGACCTCAAGATATGCTTTACATGAACTCCTTCAAGGTGGAAGGAATTTGGTCGGTCCTTGAAGATACATGTGAGATGGATTTCATATTTGTATATCTCAATGCCAAATGCAACTTGTCCATTTGATGCTACAGGTCAGACCAAGCTGGAACCGAGTCAGTCGTGGTATCGCCCTGCAATGTGAAGTTCAACCTTAGTAAAGCCTGGGTAGATTTGAAAGCACATGAGTTTACTAGGTATTTAAAGCAGATGTACACCAAATGAGATTTCTTTAAAATATATTCATCAATGGAATACGCGTCAACATAAGTTTCAAGTTGAGAGACTACCATGTGAGATTTAGAAATTTCAACGTACTTGACGGGTTCAATCACTTCTTGCAGAAAATCACTTTGATTATTTGTCTGAATTTATAATGTGATCCTAGCACAAATCTTTTACGAATTTTGTTAAAAACCTTGATTGAAGTTCTGGAAAGATGAACAATTCACAACAAGGCCTCTTGAATCTTCATCCAACTGAGACTCGAGTTGATTTTCTCCGCCCCTCAACCCTTGGATCTAAGACACCTTACAATATATTTGGTGGATGTAAGAATACATCAAAGTACATATTTATTTGTTGAGCTTATTGACAACCAAATCAGGTGTTACCACAGTCAAACATAGCTTTGACACTGAATGAAATGGTAGAACAACTCAATTTACATCTACTTTATTCCTTCTCCACCTCTCACTTCTTATACAAGTTATACTGTGGATTTTCTAGATGCAAGGACGAGTAGCTTCCAAGCTTTGATAGAAATCATTGCCATTATTCCTAGACTCAGATATAACTATGGAATGAAATATATAAAGGTTACAAGACAAAGAGCAAGCTATCAAAAATTCACACATAGAATAAAAGAGATACAAACACATCAGATCAAGAAAAGATTACGATTAGGTACTGATGAAGAAGCAAGAAAAAAACATGTTATTTGAGAAAGATAGGTCTAAGTCCCTTAAATAAACTTCCTACACAACCCAGAAGAAAAAGTTTGTCAAGAAAATGAGAATCCAAAAGAATGTAGATAAATAAGAAGGTTAAAGAGTTGATCAAGAGTATGTAAGATTTTATTCCAAAAGAGTTTCTATAATGGGAGTTGTGGTAAAAGTATAAGTAATTTAACTTGAGGAGTTAAGCTGAGTTAAGTAAGAATGTTATCACGTTTGAGTTTGAATGGGTTTGACTGTAAAGTGAACCAGTGAGAATCAGATTCAAGTGAGATAGAAGATGTTAAAAATATCGATACTGAACAAAAATGCTAATTTCTAACATACCAAAATTTTCAAATTGAACCCTTGACCAAAATCAAAGTGAACCTATGAAGATTTGTCTTCGATTAAATTCCTATGAGTTTCATCATTTACAACCGGTCCCAAGGAACCACCACAGATAAGGTTCTCTTTAAAATCTAGTTCCTACAGACTCAGTATCATCAGTGAAAATCAATAAGTTAAATGAAAACTTTTAAGTTGTATACTCTTACAAGCCACTTACATCCGGTGTTCTCGTACCATACTTTATTTGATTAGCAAAACAAATCTGTAGTTTCAATTTCGATGGTGGACTTAACGAAGCGCGTTCATCTTTGATCAGATCTTGGGAAATCGAATTTGAAGTTGAATGTTGAGAACAGCAAGGTAGCTTTGGTGGTGAATTGCTTGTTTTCTGCTTTGAGTTTTTCTTATCTTTAAGGTCAGGTATGGTTGAAGTGAATTTTCTTTTTTGTAAATTATTGGTGTTCACTTGTAGAAGAGTATCTGAGATAGCCTCAGCTTGGGTTTCGATTGCAAAAGATGAGTTATCCATCTTGCTTGCATGATCGGAGAGTGAGATTGTAGGCTTCGAGTGGCTGACTATCGAGCTAGGATTTGTTTGACTGCCTTGGCCAGCATCTTGGGTGTCAGACTTTTCCAACACCATGACTTCATCATCCTTTGAGTCCTCTGACTGTGAACCTACGACTGTCGGGGGTGCGATGTCTGAAAGCAAGAGAGGGTCGATATGCGCGCCGCCAGGGGACTGAGGCTTCACATCATTTATTGTAGGATGAATGACCTCGGTGGAAAGTGAGAGAAGTGCCTCAACATAAAACTCCATGGTTTCTGGTCCATCGGGTCTTGCAATAGTTTTTAAGCGAGCGTAAATGTCTTGAACCTCGGCGAACATAGTCATGAGTAATGGTGACGTCATGATGATTTGATAATGTTAAGATGTGATGTATAAGATATGATGGTTGCCAAAGATTTGAAAGGTGTGAAGGAGGAGTCTGGGCTGGTATTGTTGATGTTGATCAAGAGATATTTTCTTTTCGAAGTGATGAATGTGGGCAGAAAGAAAGAAAGAAGGTTTAGAGGGAAATGATAGCTCTGGATAGCGCCATGTCCGCGTGTGCCTCGAAAATTCCTTGTCATCAGGTTGAGTGCGCTGAGTATCTGGTGGGTGTAAGGCACATGAAGCGGTTGGGTTCAGAATATGTCTTTTTTTCTTTTACACTCCATTTCTAAGAACCTCCAGACCGCGCTGCGCCATATATAATTGGAGGTGAGCAAAACATCATATACAACTTGTCTTGGGCGCTCAGCAGTGGTAACAAGACTCCCTTTGAGTTCAGATCCAGCTTTACATTGCAACACATTGCCAGCTATTGAAGTTGAGATACATCATGTTTTCTAACCCAATAAACTGTTCACTGATTCCAAACAAAAGTTGAAGCCTCAATGCCCAAATGACCAGATTTCACTCAATGAGCCAGTCCGAGTCTAGTTTTTATCAGCTCAAGGGATTGGTTTTTGGTGCTATCATCTATGAGAGTGTTTGTGAGATGAGAAATCGATTGATAAGTCTTTGCGTTTGATTGTCTTTCCTTTTTGTCTTGATACCTAATTCTATCTGCCCCAGGTCATTATGATCACTGCCGTTCAGCTATTAAATTTGTATAGCTTTCCTTTTGTTCCTCAATTCTGGTTTCCTCCGTGACATTGACTGAAGTAAATCATAATGCTCATTGTTTCTGCTTTCTTGCTTGGAAATGGACTTCACGACAATGATCCCGTTGTGAAAAACGCTCCCATTGAAAAAATGTGATACAACGGTGATATGTATAGATGAAGAAATATACAATTTATGACTGATAGATCCCAAAAAAAAGTTAAATCCTTTCACCTACAGTGATTGGTTAAGTTGAGGGAAGCATACATAGAATTCTACCTAATCACCATCGATTAAACCAAGTCATATATTTCTTAATACTCACATCCACTCTGGATCAGAATCCCACTTACACCTAATCCATGTTGAAACGGTTTTCAAGATCAATTGTACTCATAAGAAGAAATAAACCTACAGAACTCAATCTGTTTCAAACCATACCAAAAATCATATTTAAGCTCAGCATCATTTCATCTTGGTTATATGTATAATAAGATATAAAAAACCATGAAAAACCATGAAGACTCAAAAACCAAAAACCCATTCTTAATTCATACAAAAGAAATCCACCCCCCAGAAAAATCTAAATCTAAATCCAACTTAAGAACAAAAATGGAAAAAAGTAAAAGATGAATAAATAAATAAATGATATAAACAAAAGTTAAGTAATACATAAATAAGATTACAATGTTCTGGTTTGTAAAGTGATTTAAAGTGATTTCAATTGATTTAATTTAATTTAAATTGACCTTGATTTAAATTGACCTTGATTTAAATTGATGTTGATGTTAAATTTGATATTGATGTTGATGTTAATGTTGATGTTGATATTGATGATAATGTTGATTTTAATTTCGATATTGATCTGGATGTTTTAAAGAGTGTTTTCAAAGATAAGGAATCGATTTCAAACTAATCTCATGATCTCGATTCAACTCAATCTGTTGCCGAATGATATCCTCACAATCATCACCCCCATCACCGGCCATCCCATTCTCATAAATCTCTACAACCGCCCAAAAACCAAAAAGAAAATCAGAACCCCATCACCCAAAAGAAACCGAAAACGAAAACCAAAGAAGAAGAAGAAGACAAAGCAAACCTAATAATTTCAAACCAGACCAAAGTCCTAAACCAGGAACCCCAACCTTTGGATTAAACCCCAAAGAATTCGGATCTCTAAACCCATTAGAAGCCTTAAAACAAGCTCTTAACATCTTCAAAGCTTGATCAGGTCGAGTATTCATAAACAAGTTTCCTAATAACCCTAATAAGATCGTCTTTAGATGTGTATTGGATTGTCGATTCGATTCGTTTAATGCATTTGTAAAATGATGTCTTTCGATTTTTCAAACAATCAGTTTTCCTTTTTTTTGTTTTTTTTTGTTTTTTTGGGGGGCACTCACTTTGCTCTAACGATTTCACCACATTTCAAAGCTAATACGATTTCCAAAGCGATTCTACTTCGGTTCGAAACACCTTCAAACGCCTTTAATTCTTCTAACCATTCCTGACATTGATTCGAATGATCAACTTCATCAATCTCTAACATCAAAGAAGTAGTGATCACCAAGACTTTGATTTGTTTTCTAATTTGAATCGAAAGAGGTTTAAGAAACCTTAATGAACTTGAAAGTGATTGTTTAGCCAACGAGAAGTTCATAGTTGATTGTGATAACATGGCTTTTAAAAAACATATTCTCGATGCGTATCTTGGCCATTGTTGGGTTAAGGTTGTGATTCGGATCAGGTCTAATAAGTTCTAAATCCCCCCCAAAAAAATCCATTTGTTTGATTAAAATTATATCTGAAAGGAAAAACTTTTATGAGGAAAGCTTAAACTGACCTGATCAGCTAGTAAGAAATTCGATCGGATAATCGACATTTGACTCATCATTAAGATTCCTTCAATCTTCATCCTTATTAATCTTTGAATACAATTTGACATCTCTGAAAATCGAACTTTGATTCCTTTCATCAAGAATTCATCAATCTTTTGGATTCCTTCATTAAGATATGTTAAAGCCTTTGGCCTAAAAAAATGCAAAAAAAACGCGTTAAATTTAGATAGAGAAGAACTGGTTAATGGGAATGTCGACTTACCGTTTTCCATACGCATCCAAATGGATTGATGCAGAGATCAAAGATACTAAAGCTTGAATCAATTCGATTGGCATCAATTTCACCCATATAAAGTCTTTGGCAACATCAGATTTCGGTTCGTTTCGAATCTCTTCATCTAACATTGAGATCTGACCAAACTTTCTCGTAAAAGGTGAGTCGATTTGAACAGTAGAATGATTTGGCAGAACAGAAGAATCGATAAAAACCTAAAGAAAATCCAAAAACATCCAAGTGAGTAAGCCAAAAATCCAAGTGAATTAGCCAATTTGAATTGAACGACTGACTTTAAATGATCCATTGTCTAATTGAAGATCCTCAATGATCCGATAAAGATAAGCAACCCATTCTTTTCCCAGTTCAATCTCACCCATCTCATAATAATAAAAACCAATCAACACCACCAAAAAACTTTCCAAAGGTTTACAAAGCTTTAAAGTAGTTGATGATTCATTGGGTTTGAATCCCACCAATTTGATAATCGAATCAACCAAGTCTCCTACTAATGTAAAGAGTGAATGGTCTAATGCTAATTTGATTTCAATAGCTTTAAATAATATATGAACTTCTTGATCTCCCCTTGTAAGTGAGGTTTTTAGAACGCTTTGGATCGTTTCTTGGGTTGATGAATAATCTTTTGGTGAATTGATTTGGATGTATAAGATTTGAAAACGATAGTACCATTTAATAGATTTAGCATGAATTGAACCATTCCTAAAGAAAAAAACCCCCAAAAGTTTAATCAAACCAAAAGATTACGAAATGAAGGCAAAAGAAGAATAAATCAACTCACTTTTGATAAGTCAACTCAATGGCTCTTTCGACTTGTTTTTTAATTTGTCTAAAAGAAATTGTAGAATCTTGCAACGAAATCAAGATATCTAATTCGGTTAACTCGAACCTAGAATCATGATCAAGTTGTAAGCCTGATTTCTTAATGATTAAAAAACCATATTGAACCAATTGATCAAGTTGATAACGATTAGAATGAGTTTCATTAATCAAGATTTTGATTAACCAAATTAATGCATTGAACTTGAATTGGATTGGGATCTGAAGTGATTCTGATCCATAGAGAATCGAACGAAGACAATTGATGGCTATCAAGATATGGCGTCGGTATTGAATGATGTGGGATTGATGTGTTTCTGTTTCTGTTGGATTTGGTTTTGATGGGGTTCCAAATAGTTGGTATGAATAGCTTGGTCTGGTCATTAAGGTTCTGGATATCTTGGAAGCTGTGGTGAGGTGTAGATGGGTCAAGTATAGTAAGGTGATATGAACTGGTATGTCAGGTGGAGTTGGTTGTTGTTGTTGTTGTTCTTCATGATTGATAGATTGTTGAGTGTTGTTTATCAGTGGTTTGGGTATTGCTTGAGTGGGTTCAGTATGTCCTCTTGACTGTTCTGTTGACGATGATGATGATGGTGTTGTTGATAACATTTTTGAAATTAATTTCAAACTTGAATGGAAATCTAAAAAAGCTTTTTCATTCAAATCGCTCATCAACTTGTCTGTCACGTGACTTGTCGCGTCTAAATTCACATTCTGGACTAATCTTCCAAGCTCTCCTTAATCAATGGGACATCAACCGCTTGGAGTAGCGCTGAGAATGAAGAAAGATTCAATCCCACAATCAATTGCAAGGGGTAAAGCTGATATTTATCCAAGTTAAAGAGCCTTTCTTTGAGCGAGCCATCAGAATCAGAATCAGAATCAGAATCAGAATCAGAACAAGTGACCGAGTGACCGAGTGACTGGGTGACTCGCAAGAACCGGGAATACGGTCCGAGGATAGTCAGGTTGTGTAAACCTAACAGCTGTATTGAAATCTTTGAACCACATTCGATTCAAAAAAAGTGTTCCAATTGGCTGAGCAAAAATACCAAAGACAGTCAAGAACATTAGCTTGATCACCAAGATGGGAAAAGTAAGTGAATCTCAATCATAATCTCATAGAGTACTATCTGATGGAATGGTGGAATGTTTGATAAGGCTCAATATAAAAAACGAATCAGATCTGCAAGACAACAAGCATCCACTGGACCAATTCAATCTAATCATCAAGAACAAGACCAATCACAAGAACCATCAAACTCAATTTCAACCACACCATCAACCACTAATGAAACAAAACTATCTAAAACCAAATCAAAAAAATCAAAACCAAAACAAAGAGATTCATCACTTGCCATCATCGATCATGTAAGTCAACATTCTTCCAAAAATCAAACTCAATCCACCACACTAACGATATTCTTTCGTACATTAAATCATAGGTAAGATCCGAAACTCCAGCTGATAGAGTATGGTCAATAGCAGCCATCTCGAATCTAATTCTATCATCATCTTCAACAAGAAGACTTTTACAATCCAAAAACCTAGTGAACCTTTTAATCGAACGTTTAAACACAGACCAATCACATCCTCAAATCATGATTGAAACTACAAGCGCCTTAAGAAACTTAGTTATCGAAGGTGGTGATGATGTTTGTGGTGAGATGTTCAATAAAGGCATCTTGATTCCTTTACAGGCTTTGCTTTTGGTTTGGTTTAATCGCTTTGATGGGTTTCTGTTACATGATTTAATGATTGCGGAAAACGTTTTGGTCATTCTTTGGTCTTTAGCGTAAGTGATCTTTGGTTTGAAAAATTTCAATGAAAAATCCTGATCTGATGAACTTTTTCACCACTTTGCCTACAATAAAAAAAGTGAAACGTCTAATAAATTGTTTAAAGCTATTGGTGCTATAACCGAATTAGTTCCATTCTTATTCCGAATCATTCAACTCTACGTTGATCGTCTAGGGATCTCTAATGCTCAAGACCAAACCTCGACTCCAAGCACAAGCTTAACATTAGTTTCGATCCAATGTTTATATACCTTAACAGAAGATGATCCCAAGCTCATCAGACAGATTTCATCTCAACTTGATCCATTATTGGTTCTTTTTAAAATCAATCAACAACCTATCAAAAGATCTACTGAAGACCAAGAAGAATTAGAGTTATTGAAAGTTTATTTGGTTGGGATTTTAAGGAATATCGTTTCTCAAACTAAACATCCTAATCGACTTTCATTCAAATCGATGTATGATGATCACCTTTTACCTAATCATTTGTTCCAATTCTTGGATCTTGATCTAAGTGATCTGTATCACCAAGCTTCTAAGGCTTTTCTTTCTCTCGTAAGTTTTAGCAATCTTTGGTCTGTTCTGATCTCCTTTTTTCATCTTTTTTTCCACTTCTGATAAATTTTACTGATGTTGATTTTGTCAATGTGATCTTCACTTAGCCTCCTATACCTTTGTCAGACCTTAATTTAGCAAAAGCATCAGTCAAAGCTCCAAGTTCTGAAGAATTACTCCTCGAATCTGCTGAACGACGTTTGACTACTTTACAACTATCACTTGAGCTCTTAGGGGAATGGTGTGCAACACTTGATGGGTTCCAAACCGAAGAAGAAACAAACCCGAACCCTGAAGACTTGGAAGCCAAAGATGATATGGTAGAAGATGACGATGAAGAAGATGACGATGATGATACAGAGATGAGGGAAGCTTTGGTGCCTGACTCAACTAAAAAGATAGATCATGATGGTGATGAAGAGATGGGCAACGGATCCGAAACCGAAGATCTAGTGAACCCCACTGCTCTTCCTATCGACCAGATCCCATCCAATCAATTCTCGAAACTATTTCATTCATTCATGAAACTTTCTCAACCGATCCAAACCCCTGATCTTCCAACTCATACGATTCCTACAGCAGCCGAAAATGGAAGTCAAGATGATTTGATGCCTCAGACTATCCAAGAATTGGTGATCGGAATCCATACTCGTGCCTTACAATCGATTAATAATTTGTTAATCACACTTGAAAGAACTGGATCTACCAGTAAGATCTTGAATGATCAAGACTTGGATGTCGCTTGGAAATTGGTCTTGCAGATCGTTAATGGATCATCTACTTCACCGTTGATCTTACCGGCTGTCACATGTCTTTGGAGTTTGGTTCGGATTGATGCCGTTCAACTGGTTCTACAACGTCAATCTAATTCACTTATTGAGGGGTTGTTGAACTTGTTGGATGACGAATTTGTGGGGGTTGAGGTTCGGTCTAGGTTGGTTTCGGTCTTGAGCGTTGTTGGGTCTTGTGCATCGATCACGGTTGAAGAAAATCAAGTTGAGTTTCTTTTCCATTGATTTTTCTTGAAAAAAAAAAAACTAATTGGAATTTTTCGTTTTGTTTTGGTTTTTTTTTGGTGGTGGTGGGGGGTTTAGGTGATCGGAATGAAATTAATGGAAATCATTAGTGATTCTAAGACTCCTTTGTTGGTTATTCATGCCTTGGATGGGGTCTTGGATCTTTACTCTGATGAAACATCAAGTTATGATGTGAAAGTGTTTAGGGATTTGAAGTTTTTGAACCGGTTGATCGACTTGGTTCCGATGATTAAAAACTTGGTTTGTCTTTTTTTTCCTTTCTTTCTTTCTTCTTCTATTTTTGTTTTTTTTTGGTGGGAGGAAATATTGATGGTTTTTTTGGGGGGACGATGGGGATGGAATAGGTTAAGAAGATTGATAAGAGAAAAGATTTCAAGTTTAGGTCTGTTGCTGAGGATTGTTTGATGAATGTATTGGGATTTATTGAGTATCGTAAAGGATTAAAGGTTTGAAAAAACAAAAAAAAAAACAGAAAAAAAGATTGATTGAAATTATCAAAATTGCAAAAAAAACTTTTGTTTCTCAGAAGAGGGTTTTTTTTACAAAAAAAAAACACTAAAAAGATTGATTTTAAAGAAATCTTTGTGGTGGATATACATAGGTTATGATGAGTTTCTTGAATTGATGATTTACATGGTATATGGAGTGGGTTTATTTTTTTTGTTTCTTTGGACTTGAAGTTGAATCATTTGAAGTTTTCATTTTTACACATATATGTACACAGTTTCTTTTAAGATTGTTGGTTTTTGGTGAGGTTTAAGTTGATTAGATATTTGGTGATTGGTTCCTTTTTAATGAGGTTTCGAAATGGGTTTTTTTCTTGAATTGAGCTTATTGAGAAGTTTATTAGAATCATTGGGTCTTGGAGCATGATTTGATAGCCGTCTTTAACTTTTAAGGCTTTGTCTTATCATGATGACTTTGAGAAAGACCAAGAATTGTGAAAGCTTCGCAGGCTGAGAGAAAGGAAAAATGACTTGTCAACTTTTCCGGGAGTGGCCCTGATTGCCCCGGTGTATGCTCCGGGCCTAGAGTCAGGGCCAGTACAGATGACCCAAGGCGGGGTCAAAGCCGGTTCTCAGTAATCTTCAGTGAAAGTGACGTCGTTTCTTCAATTTTCCATATGCTGATATAGCCCCTTTTACTTTAGAGTCTCAATCAGAAACCTCTTGAATAAATATAATGGCAGTCGACGAGAGCGCCCGTTTCCCCCCAGCACCTGTGATGTTACTGACTGGTGAGTTTTACCTTGAAGCTTGATTGGATCCTAAATGAATATGACTGAGATGATGAGTTTTTTTTAGGTGCTAATGGAGCCGTAGGATTTGGAATTTGTTTAAGAATCTTATATCAATTATCTCAACCTACTCAATCTGATATCTCACTTTTAAATTTATTTAATCATTCGAATGAAAACCATCAATTAAGATCATTATCACTTCAATCATCGTCAGAAGAAGAAGATTTCCAATCAGTTTATGCTACTCCTAATGGATTGACTCTTTTGTTAGGTTGTCGGAATCGACAAAAAGCTCAAGATGCACGTGATGAGCTTTTAAAGAAATTAAATCGATTGTTTAAATTTGAAAATCAAGATGATCGATCAGTTACTTCGTTTAGTTTTATTGATCGATTGACGGGTCAAGTTGAAATCATTAGTTTTCAAACTTATCGTCAACTTTGGTTAGAGAATCTTAAAATCGAATTTCTTGAACTTGATCTTAGTAATCTGAATTCGATTTTTAAAGCTGTTGATCAGGTTAAACTACAATATGGTCATCTATCTCATCTTCTTTTGAATGCTGGTGGTGGTACGTTTATCGGTTTGGATTGGATAAAGGTCTTCCGTGGTATGGTCCGAAACTTGGTGGAAGCTTTGACGTGAGTGCGTAGTAGGTCATGGAGATCTTTGTTAAGGCTCGGTTTTACCTTCTATGATTTACTGACGTTCTCCAAGGATAGATATCCAGATTATATGCTAGAAAGTCGTTCAGAAGAGACAGATGATAAGTTGGGTTACACCTGGCAACTTAATGTCTTTGGTCATTACCTACTTGCACGTCTCTCGTTACCACTCCTGGCTCGTACTCCTTCTACTCTGCCAGCTCGGATCATCTGGACTGGTTCATTGGACGGATTAGCCAAATACTTTGATCCTCAAGATTATCAGTGTTTGGAGAGTGATCAGGCTTATCAAAGTACAAAGTATCAGGTAGGATTATTAGGATGGGCTTTTAATTCAGTGATTCGAAAGTACGAGGCAGATGTGAAGAAAGAGGAAACCAAAGTGGGTACTCCACAAACCGCAAGTTCACCTAGAGTGGTGAGTTTGGTGGCTCATCCCGGCATCGTGGCTGGCAATATGTTTACGTGAGTATGTTGATTATCAATTCTTGACCCAACCCTTGATTTCTGAAAATGTGACTTATTTGAATTTGGATCTATTGACAGGCAAATTGTGGGAGTCTTTCTAGATTATGCCATGCTAATGACCTTTTACCTTGTACGAACATTCTTTGGTTCATCTCATCATGTGATATCAGCCTATAAAGCCGGTCTAGTTTGGACCTTTGCAAGTTTAGGTCCTTCAACAATAGAATTAGGGAATCTGATAGGTGGTGAAGATTATCCGTTTCGAATGGGTGCTCGATGTGATCGGATAGGAGGAGAGTATGTTGTATTAGAATCCAATCATCAAACAGAAGGTTATCAACGTTGGTTTGATGACGAACATGCCAATCTGATTCTTGATAAATGTGATCAGTTATACTTGATACATTCACGCAAGCAAAAAATTGACATCGACACAGAGTCGGCTTAATCTTCGGAGATATTAGTTTGCATATTAGACATCAAATTTGTTCAATTTGGCATCAATGACCATAATTATCATCCATTCACGCAAGCAAAAAAATGACATCAACTCAGAATAAGCTTAATATTGGAGATATTAGTTTGCATATTAGACATAAAAATTTGTTCAATTTGGGATTCTCACATCAATGACTATAATTATCATCAGTGGACCCTTTATCAAACTGTTTTTTTCATTTTTTTTTCAATGCATCATGAAGCCACTCCTGGTAAATCTGGTTCAACATTTCATGCTTTTTAGGCCTAGTTAGCCACCACACATGATCAAATCATGGGACTATGTTCCAATTTGATGGCATCAGTAAGGTACCAAAATTGAAACTAATGGTATTGGTCCTTGGAACAATGATATCCTTACAATGAAAAATTTATATTTGATATCAGAGCTGATAAGAAAGAACTGGAACATCTTGAGATCACAGAAAAGTATAGACCCTCAGGGCACGCTCACTGAGGGAATTTCTGACCAGAAATCACATTTTGTAAATTTTTTAATGTAAAAATGTAACATGCCCCACCAAATAGACATTCTAAATTTTGCAGAATGTGATTTCTCACCAGAATTTGCTTAAGTGAGCTGTTCACAGGGTGTGCCAATATTGAGGGGGTTGGTAGCAAAACGTCATTGGAGGCAGTGGTTTTTGTAAAATGATTTTTTTTCGGCCAATGCCGTTATTGACACCCATCACACTACACTTTATACTTGTTTTTGAAGAACTTTCTAATCAACTAATAATTGAATTCATATTTCTTTTTCAAAAAACAATAAACTTCCAAGTCAAAGTTGAAATCTTGTACCATCAGTTCACTGAGTAGTCAAAATTTCAGAATCATCACAATGATTCACTACAACTCTCATACTTATCACCTTTGATTAAAAAAGGCAAGAAAAGGATCAAAGTGTATTACTATGCCTCAACATTTTTATTGGGTTCAAATCATGATTAGATTATTTTGATACCTCTATGCAACTCGATCACAGATGATGGATCAAAAAAAAGTAAGAGTTTCATGACAAATGACTCAACAAGGTTGAACAGATTACCATTCAATATGCCCATGATCTTTAAAAACAGCCATTTTGGCCAAAAAAATGAAAACATCATCAATTCTTCTAAACCATCATCATCATCTCATTCATCCTTTCCTTTACAACTTCAACAACCAAATGATCATCTCCATTAACATGTACAATCTTCACAGGTAAACATAATCCAATCAAATTTTTCCCCTCTTCTACTTCTCCAAACCAATCTTCTCTTTCTTTAATCACTAAAGAAGCTTTAATACCTAATTCGATTAAATAAACTTTCATAGTCCAACGATTTGTAAACCTAACCAAGATGGCTTCAGACATAATCACTCCTCTTAATTTGAATTCATGATGATCTTGAATCGAAAGTCTTTCAATCAGATAACTAATCCAACTTCGATTTAATTTCTTTTCTAACATTTGAAACGGTTTAATTTCTCTATCAATTCTATCAATCAATCCCATCATACTTTTCTCACTCAAAACTTCTTGATGATCATCATATTCTTTTAATCCTTTTGATCGAAGTAAAGCTCTTTTGATTTGCCAATGTGAAATTAAATCACTATACCTTCTTAATGGACTAGTCACTTTACAATATCCATACTCATCTGAAATTCCTAATGGTGAATGTACATGAGGTTTCAAATTATGCATGGCTGGTAATAATTTCACTTTAGCTTTTTGAAAGATGAATGGGCTCACTACTCCTGTGATGGGTGAGATTTGTTGACGAAGGAGTCTCAAGGCTTCTAGGTTGCCTAATGAATCGGCTTGCTCCGGTGGTGCTTGAGTTCGAAATGGCAGTAGAAACCATTCAGAATTGATCTCGCTCTGAAGTCGACCTGCTAATCGACCAGCGAGAATCATGAATTCGGTAACTAGTTGTTGGGCCGAACTAGTACCCCATTGGTGAGTTCGATGATCCATGATCGGTCTTGGTAGGTATACTGTCACTGCTGGTGTGCCAGTTGAGAGCTGTGGGGATGGTGCGATGCCAAAGACAGGTTGGACACTCGGATTCGAATGGAGCGTAACAGACGGAGTGGGTAAGTTCCAACCGAGCGCTCCATCAGCTACACGGCGACGAGTCAGTGCTGATGCAAAGGTAGCAAGATTTTTGAGTCGTGAGTGATCATCAGCATCGAGTTGTTCCAAACTGAGGGTTGGGCGAGCATCCATAGGGTTGCATTCTGGAGGTTGACCAATGGTAAGCTTTGGCTGAGGTGATGGCGGTTTCCCATCGAGAATAGTAGTGACCACATCGTAGGTAGTCTGTTTAGTACAATTGATCCAACCTGGGCGGATCTTGTATTGAATTATATTGCCAGCTTTGTCAAGGAGAGCACTGAAGGTCAGTGTACGTTGTCCACCAGCAACGCCTAAGCTTAGTTTATTGGTTTTGATGAAGCCAGCAGGTAGCATGGGTAAAGTGAAACCAGGCATATAGAGCGTTTCCAAGTATTTTCGAGCTTCTAAAGCTATTGAATGGGATGGATCTAGAGAAGTGGTCGGGTCAGCGATATGAACATGCACCCAAGCCTGGGGGTTATCAGACGAGCTTTCAACTAGCTCAATTGAAACGCCATCATCAAGTTCTTCAGCATTAGGATCATCAATTATATACACCGGTAAGTCTCCAAAATCATGTCGCAAGACATCAGACGGGTCAACTGCTAATGTAGGACTTCGCGTCCTATTCATAGATGTTCGCTTTGGTGTTGTACCAGATAAATCACGATTCTTTGGGTTTGCCTTGGCAGTGGTGTAGGTACGATATCGTGACTCGATATCTAGACTTGGATCCCAAAGCCCCACACTCTGCCAGGGTAGCAATACTCCGATGTCACGTAATAAGACAATAGCTCCAAACCTATCAAAGGTGAGCGCAGGCCAGGTCTTTATCATCGCCTGCTTATCATAAAGTCCAATCTTCTTCAAAATCGCCGCCACGATAGTGCTCAAAGGTTGATCTTGAATCATACGTTCAGTGATTGCAATCGTACGAAAAACTTTGATGATCAGAAGATCGGAAGCCGTCCAGGCAGAACATAGATCAGTGACAGGGCGGAGAGGATTGGAAGTTTCTGAAGGATCCTGTAAACTACGCTTGGTGTTGATGACATGCCGAGCTTTTTCAACAAATGACTTTAGCTCAGTCGAATCGCTTGCTACCCAATCTCGAACCGTGTACAAAGCCTCAAGGGTATCCTCGGATTGTAAAGAAAAGGCTGAATGATCGCGCATATCACGCGCATTGGCGATGAACAAGTCGGAATTGGCCATCAGCTGTTGATGAAGAGCAAAGAGCATGAGTTCATCTTGAGAATGCTGTCTTCCTAATAAGAACCGAAGGGCCTGCTCAGTGGAAAGTCGAGCTGTCTTTGTTCGATCAGGATGTTTGAAGTGATTATAAAGGTCATAAGAACCAGCTTTGGTCAAGATAGCATGACATCGATCAAGTTTAGCTTCAGTCACTCGTAAGGTTCGACAGCAATGTTTGCGAGCCTCTGTGATTGCGACAGCCTTTTCGTCCAATGGATCTGATTCCAATTCACTTTGCGATGTCGACAAGACGGAAGTAGTAATTGATCCCAACACGTTTTCAGCATCGGCAGCTTTCTTGGCAATTGAACTATCCACAATGTTGTGCATGGTGTACATCACATTGTCTAAACTGTTGAGTCGAATTTCACCTGATCGATTAACGTATACTACTTCATTTCCAATGATACTCACTACGATACCCATCTCAGATTGATTAGCTCTTGTTAGGAGTATTATTGATAAGAGGAGAATCACATGTCAGGCGATCTGTCCATAGAGTGAAGGAAGAATAGGAAGGGTACAAAGTGAAAAGTTGAATAAGTATTGATAGAATACTACTAATCAATGTTTGTTTAGGTGGAAGCTTTAGTATGTTTGACTGACCTACGTAATTCGATAAAGCTACCAGGTTGTAAACCAGAGATTCCTTTCGCGCCAGGCTTTCGAACCAAGGGAATTGAATCCCCAATCGAATCAGAATCCAGACCACCATAGTCAAAATCTGGTAAACCAAATTCGGTGGCACTCCTGGCAAGATCCAAAATATCGGGAGAACCCTTACGAATCATAGTCGTTGAAATTTTCGAGCCTGAGACATCATTCAGCTTTGATGAAGTAATGGAGCTGAAAGACCTTTGCGTCAAAGGTTTTGTACGTTGTCGACCTGAGCGAGCAGCTTGAAGAGGCCAACTGATTTGATGATCTGGTTGAACCCTACCTCTTCGACGTTCTTCTTCCCACCACCTTAAATCGAGTGGAGATCGTTTAGCAGGTTTGTAACCTTGTGCCCGAAGAGCTTCCCATCTCTTAGCTGATTCTAGATTGTGAGACCTATTGTAAAATGCACCATAGATTGAGATAAGTTGATTGGCAACGGGTTCAAATGAATTCCAAAGAGCTTGAGATGAAGGTGAAAGTGGTTGTGGTTGTGGATTGATTGATTTGATATTGCTTTTTGATTCGATTAATCCAATCTTCAGTGATCGTCTTGAGGTCATTCTGTTTTTGTTTTTATCTTCATTCCTATTCTCGTTCCAATTGCTGAGCAAACTGATTTAGCAAAAAGACGACAAATTTGCAGAAACTCGAAATTCATGGTTGCAAAACTTAACTTAACCTGTCACTGAGATTTCACAGCTATATCCTTGCAAGCCCAATAGCTATGTGACACTTCTCACTAGATCTCACCACGAGCCTCAATGGCTTGTTCTCCAGCGCAATCTTGAGATGGAGCAGAGGCTGAAGAAAAGCTATTCGATGTATCTGGAGTGTTGAACATGATTTCACGGCATTTTCAATAACAAGCACTTATGCATATCAACCTCAACCAAAGAATAGAACTTATCACCTTGAATCAGATCCTATGCGAGTTAGGACTGGAAATTGAATGACAAACATGATGGTGTAGTTCTTTGAACACTCCCGCTGTCAAGATTGCTTGTTGCATAGTAAAAAAAACAACTATCTTCCTTGAATTTCTTCGGGTGGATTTCAGATTATCCCTCTTAATTTCATAATACATATGAGAACAAGAGTTCATATTTTCCATGACACAAAAGCTGAAACTGGATGGCTTACAATAGAAGCACATTCCAAATGATATATTCTAAGATGAAAACAAGAGTTGAAAAGGTCTGTATGAACAAGATTATCGAAGTATGTACACAATTGTACATGAGCAATGCCTCATTGTAGTACAGTCTAGAGAGGGTATATTTCAAGTTGAGTGATTTGGTGTGACTATTTTACAGATCCTGACTCTGTAGTACTCCCAGCATTGAGTCCATCCACTAGAGCACAAGCCTGACATATAAGCTGACTGGACAAAGAGCCGCAACGTGTACAAGATTCTAAAAAAATCAAACCAACAGATGATTTTAGCCTTGTCCTTGATTTGCTTCGGCTGGATTAAGATAAGATATAGCACGAGCTAGTGAAAGGGGTCACTCAACGTTGTGTGGGTCGCTTGACATCTGTTTTCACCGCACCTGCCATCGCTTCACCACTATAGATGATATCAAGGATTGAAGAAGGTCGGATGCGTTCAAGCTCTTTGACTAAAGCTCGGGCGTGACCACGGTACGCCTCCGGTGAATAAGTACATTCTGTTGAGAAATAATCCAGCTTTTTGAAATCTATTATGCCCACAAATGATATACGGTATATGATAAAGGCAGATTGTCATTAAGAATTTCGAAGTTGAAGGTGGATGAAGGTAGGGAGAAAAGGAGTAATTGGGCATACGCACACGCATACATCACAATTTCTTTTTCATAAGCATATTTAAAAGGTTTACTTCTCTTCACTGGGATACCACCCATACCAGAAGTGACTCCGCCCGTTGTAATTTCCGTGCACCTCTCTAACCGAGCGATATCTCCCCGTAAAACTATTGACATGCATTTTTGGAAGATCAATAAAACTTTGGAGTACGAAGCTTAGAAGGTGTCAAAGTGGCTCACCATTCATGAGAACTGTTTCGGCAATATCATCTGCATTATGACCTGTTACAATGTGATCCACACCTAAGATATTGGCGCCTCGATCCAAAGCTTGTCTTCTGAATACACCACAAAATGTACCTAATAATTCAAACAGCAACACCATTCATGCGATCAATTTTTCTGCAGATCATTCGCGTGATAATCATTAAGACATAAGATGACCAATTTAGATCTTTTAATGGATTTACAGTTTCCTTTTCGACCAACATTTTCGACGACTTTGTCCATTGTCCAGCCTTGATAAAGTTCATCGTAAGAAAGCACTTTGAGGGGTAAAGAGTATTGGGACGAGTTTCGTTTCACCGTCTAATACCAAAAACGTATTGAACGCCAAAGAATCATCAACATTGTCAGTCTCGGAAAAGATTTGTTTTCGCGTAAACATCGTTTGAAAAGATTGTACCTCCAGAGAATCATCCCGATATCCTTTGATACCTTCGTCTATCGATAGTAAACACAAATCTAACCCGTAGTCATACCTCTCATTCAAGGTGGTCATGACATGCGCAAGTACAGTAGAATCTAAAAAAATAGGTATTAATATTAAACAGCTGATGATACGTTGCAAACTTTCCAAATGTTCTGACCTTTACCACCACTAGCAGCAATTGCCACTCTCTCACCTCTCCTGAACATCCTGGCCGAATTTCCACTTTGAGACCTCTTCTGCTGACATCCTGATCCAACTTGATCCACTACATTATCACAACCATTGTCATTTTGAGTACATCCTCCAGTTTCAGCATTCGAGATTTTCTTTATTGCTCTTTCCGTTTCTTGCAATCCAAGACCAAGTATCGTATTATGAATTTCTGTTTCGAAAATAAGATAAAAACATTCTCGACAAACAGCTTGAGCTGTCTTTGGACGTTTAATGATGGCACGCCGAGGTGTAGGAGATGATGCGAGAGTTGGACATAGTGCACAAGGTGCCATTTGAGCTCCAGGACGGATTGAGACTGGCGCGCGCGTCGGTTTGAAGGCGAATTAGCAATGGATTGCCGTGCTGGTGTTGGAGGCAAGGTAGAAAAAAGTGTTCAGGAAGCTCGGGCGATGCTGTCCCCGAGCAAAACAATGCGTTATCATTGCCGATCGGGTATGGCTCCGCCGTTGCAGGCGGCCTCAGTCCGTGACCATAGACTCGCGGGCTGTCACGGCACACGGGTCGGGACTCCGCTGACTCATCCAGCTCATCCAGCTCCAAGATGGAATGGGTTTTCGGATTTTTTAGTAGAGTAGGTTGGAAACATGCTCAGAGTCAATCATCACCTGTTGGCAAGAAAACTTGCACCTCTGAAAATCAGAAGTCATCCTTACACGATTGCAGTCTTGCCGTGGACGGACTGAAACAAATCTTATAGTGATGACACCTAAAGTTCCTTACGCCTTGCCTGAAAGAAAGATGTTCATGCCAAGATCTATGCTCAATTCGAAGGGGCTTTTTGAATAGCGCCAAAGGACGGTGGGTTCAAGATTACATCAGGTGTCTCACAGGACGCTCAGTATTCAATCAAGCAGGGTGGGTTGATAACGGCTCTAGATACCATTCAATGTCACGTTTGCATCTCTTATTGCATATGTTTTTAGTGTAGGTATTTCAAACTTATTACTCTGTATCCCCAATGATCATGCTGATTTCATCTTCTTGGAATAGAACAAAAATACCACTTATATAGAACAAATGTCTCGGGATATCTCATTCTGAGGTCGTAGAAGAGTCTTTTGTCAAATTCTACACCAGCATGAAACTCTACGCAGGTGTGATGTTTTGATAGAGATACAATAGAATTCCTGGAGCTTGAGTGAAAAGGTAGGTGAAATGTCTACTCAAACGTGTGTTGGCTGATTGGAATGGGGAGATATACACGTCGACGGCATGAAGGACACGATACATCTGCACGTCTGGCTTCGGAACTCATTATATGCGCCTAGATCACAGTAGGAAATCATTCCAAGCATTAAATTCAATTACTAAAGATTTATTGAATACGCATTCAAAATTTAAAAGCTTACATTCATACATTGTTCGTGAAACTTGTGAGGTTTGGAACACTTTAACTTGATCACCCTTTGACCTTCAAAAAATCCATCGAGGCAAATAGGACACAAGACAGCACTTCTGTTCTCAGAGTTAGATATGTGATTTAAATCGGGTCGATAGTGCAAATTTCCTCCTAAAGTAATAGAAAAGTTTCAGTTTAGGCTACGAGAGTCAACAAAACTGGATGGTAATATCTTCTGAATTTCGTAATCATCTTTATCAAGACATCTTAGTGTAAGATGGGGTTGATTACACAACATCCCAATATATGACATGGAGGTCATGGTCAAGGCTATCTGCATGTTATTGCCTCTGAGGATACAGAAGAGACTCACGGGGAACGTGAATTTCACCATCAAGCAACTCTCTACTACCCTCGATGTAAGGACTTGCTTTGTAAAGGATTCCAATGACAAATTCTTGATCTTCGCGATACTTTTGTGCTTTATCAGGATCCAGGCCGTATAGTTCAGCTGTGCCATCTTTCAATGCAGAATCTTGAGCTTTGAAAGAAGTAATGATATGTTCGATGTGTTCACGTTGAACCAATGAAAGGCCTATGAAAGGCAAAAGAAGGTTACCAACGTAATTATCTACATCTTCACGCGAAAAGTACTCTTGAATGCTGGGCCGCACAGCAGATTGATACTTGAATCTATCGGAAATGGCTTGATAGATTTTTCCAAAGTGATCATTCCGTGTAACATGATCTTGTATACGCTCTCTACAAGCCGTGTTATATGTTGAGATATGCTCGAGTATATGAAAGACACAATCTGTCTCTTTAGGGGAATTACCCAGAGTCACCATGTGCTGCATGCATCTCAAGGCTATCCATTGTAATGTCTCCCTACCAGCTGCGCCCTTTCTTTGAAGTAATGAATCGAATATCTCGATGAAGTTGGCATTCAGGTTGGCTTTTCCAAAATTTTCAAAGTAGTTCCTAATGTTCACGATAATTTCAACCCTTTCAAGCACTTAGGACAGAGGTATGACGACGTCCAATCACATCAGATTATGATTGTCTATAATTGAAGTGTAGAGATAAAGGCTCACCTTCACTTATGTTGTCATTTGCCAGCTTTTTCATCGTTGTGAGATCGAGTCCTGTTCACACAAACATGAGGTGAGAACTGAGTTTTTGTTTTTCAAAGTCGAGAAACTCAAAACAGGTGAGAGAAATGTCAACCTTCAGTCAAAAAGAGCTCCAATGCTCCTCGAGAAACAGGTCCCGTACTCGGGTTTGACCTGATAGGTTCCAGGTCTCCTCTTGGAAGATAGGCTTGGATACACCGCAAAACCTTCAACCCCCACAATCGCTCGGATCTTGACAAATAATCTTCTTGCAAAGTTTCAAGTGCAATGACTACAAGCTGGTCCAGTGGGGATGCTTCCACCCAAACTTCTATTACACCTTGATCAAAACATTCAATCAGGCTACACGTTGCTTTGACTAACCTATTCACACCTACATGAGGTGTTGGTGGCGCATGGGAAAGACACGCAAGATCGTCGAGATCTGGTGGTAGGACAATATGTTTAACTGTTGCTAGCGCTGCTGTGATTTCTGACCATCTGGTGGGCGCCGGGTCGCATATGATTTTCTTGTTTGATGTTTGAAACATCTCAATTGCTTTCAATCTTTTAGTTTTAGCTTCCAGAGTCATTTCTGGGAGATCATCAGTCCACCGGTCTTGAAGTCCATGGATCGCAGGTAATTGCCTCTCTGCCTCGTGAAGCCCTTCGAGACTGTCTTCGTGGGCACCAGTATGAGTAATAGTGATCGCACCGAGAGCCATCGACACAAGCGAATAATACCACACAACGAGTAGCATAACGGCTTATCACGGGGGTGGCTCGAATAGGAAGTCGAGAATTTCTCTGACGCGGAATCAACCACTGAAGTTGAATGATTACTGGAGGGAAACACTACAAGAGAGTCTGTGGATATTGTGAGGTAATTGAAGTGGCCAGAGTGCTTCTGAACTCCGTGCGCAGTAATCATGTATTCGATCAAGACAACATTCAGACTTCAGAGTGTCCCGCCGAGGTCCTACACCCAGAATTAAAATCATGTCAAGTACGCAGGATGTGTCTCATTTCATGATCATGCAAAACGTGTCTCTTACTGAAAGCTGGTGCTACATCACTTCTCGAAGCGAGATGGCGCATGTGTCAGGATCAGCAACCCTACCAGAGGTCGATATTTTTATACCCACGATGACTAGTTTCACATCACCGGTGCTACATATCCGTCTTGGCAGTGATGAATGGAACGGCGCAGAGTGTGTACGGGCGTCCTAAAAACGATGAAGTATAGGGCTATATTAAGGGTTGCTGACTTCGTAAAGACCATATTGGGGGTTCATCTCAGGACTGCCATCCACTTGTGAGGCTGTTAAGAATGAATTAATTTCCAACCTTGATAGGCCTGATGTTGCATCTTGCAGTACCACAACTGGCTCTGCATGATTATTATTCAATGAACATACCAGGATCAGCCTGCTGTTGCACTGATCAAACATTGGGAAAGCTTTGTCATCAGGAGAAAACATGTATCTTCTACATACAAGCCATCAAAACCAGTGTGCATCTCCACTGATTTTTTTCTCCATTCTGTTAGAACCCAGCCATAAGGTAATGAGGTAGAAGGGTCAAGGCACAATTACAGTGATGATAAGATTGTACTGTGAGGAGAAAGTGCATAGTGATGTCATATCAGGTCAAACTCAGTACAATCATATGTGCCTTGTAGCCTCATAACACATGCATGTTCAAAACACTTCAATCTTATACCTAAAGTCCCTACTGTTTTGAAGCTTGCTTGCTCTGGATGATGTGCCCTTGCCTGCACTGACCTCTAGGATGGATCAGGAGCATCAAGTTTGAGTACCCTTGGCTCTGGCCCTGGCCACTGGCTTCTGTCTGTCTGTCCAGCTACACAATGGCCATGGTCTAAGACTATGTAGCTACATTAGAAATTGCAAGACAAATCCAGCCTGACAGTAATAGGGGTGGGCTATAGCCATGTACCAGGGAAATGCACATCATGATGAACAGGGGGTAACCCAAGGATTATTTATAACACATAATGGAAGTATTCATTTTGGGATATTTATTTCGTGGATCAGATCAAATCAAATTTTGAAGAGATTGTGCCATGTTTATGGGATCTAGAACAATACATCAAATCTTCACAGCCTCCATGAATGATAACAAAGAAGTGTAATGACACGAATTGATTAGGCTCAAAGAGCGATGTGGCGTTGCCGAATAAAATTTAACCTGGGGTAATCAGGTAACACGTAAGTCAAGGCAACAAGCCACAGAAAGCTACAAAGAGCTAATCAAGACGTGACAAACCTGTGCACAAGCAGCAGGATCACGGTACGGTCAAGTAGAGGTTTAATAAGTAAAAGCAGTAAAAAGATTCTTTTTGATGGATAACATTATATAAACTGATCATACCTGGGGTAATCAGGTAACACGTAAGTCAAGGCAACAAGCCACAGAAAGCTACGAAGAGCTAATCAAGACGTGACAAACCTAGCGCGACACAAGTGTTAGTCTAAGAGAAAGATAAAAGGAGAAAGAGTAAACACACAAACCTGTGCACAAGCATCAGGATCACGGTACGGTCAAGTAGAGGTTTAATAAGTAAAAGCAGTAAAACTAAGGATGAAAAAGAAGAGGCTTTAGTTAGATAAGTTGATAAACTAAAAGTAAATAGTGAAACGGCTTACAGATTCTTTTCGATGGAGGAAAAGAATCTGGTTGCCAACAACAGCTGCTATATAAGTTAAGAACAAGAAAACACAAGCAGCACAATTACTAATCATTTAATAAAAAGAAATTCTCAAGTCACACAGACTTATTCCCAAAACAGACATAATAAAACCTCATTCAGATCCTTCTTAATCCTCTTAAATCAATCACATCCTAATCCGTACACATCATCATTAATTCGTTTTCCTTTGATTTCAAATAACACCTTTTCTAAACAATCTTCACAATCTCGAACATCAACACTACACCGGAAGTCCTTGACCAAGGATAGAAAGAGAGCAAAGCGACAGATCTAGACTAATTGACTAATTACCACAACACGCCGCCTCAAGGACTTCAGGCCTAACTAACATGTTTCAAACCCAGTTGTTGTCGAAGGTAATAGAATTGTTGTCGGCCCAGCGGTTTGGTTAATAGATCAGCCAGCATCTCCGTAGTAGGTATGTGTTTAACCACCAAAGCACCCTGTTTCACAACCTCCCGAATCCAGTGATATTGAATTTCTATGTGTTTGGTTTGGGCGTGAAAAATGGACTTGGTGGTGAGGTGAATAGCCCCCATATTATCACTACGTAACACAGTTGGGTTCGGATCCTCAAAACCAAAGACTTGCAGCATATTCCTCAACCATATGAGCTCTTGACCGGCTTCAGTTATTGCACGATACTCAGCTTCAGTAGAAGAAAGCGCCACGGTGGGTTGCAAACATGACTTCCAAGATATAGGACCGCCGGCCAGTTGAAAGATGAAACCGGTGGTAGACCTCCGAGATTCTTTGTCGCCAGCCCATTCGGAATCACAGTGAGAGTTGGGCAAGTTGAAGCTTTTGAGACCCGCAATTGTCGTAGGAGCAGCTGAGTCGCCGTTGTAGGAAATTCCCAAATTGATAGTACCACTCAAATACCGAAAAACATGAAGAACGGCGTCCCAGTGTTTTCGAGCAGGCGATTTTAAATGTTGAGAGAGAACACCAACGGCGTAAGATAAGTCAGGTCTAGTACATTGTGCTAGATACATAAGTGATCCAACAGCGCTACTGTAATTCAGACCTTCTTTTGCAAACGCCTCGGCCTCGTCATCGCTAGAGCGGTACATTTTGAGTCCAGCAGGGAAAGGAGTAGACGCAGCCTTGAGGTTGGTGACATTGAAGCGTTCCAGAACAGCTCTTGAAAGTGCAGACTGAGTGATTGTATAACACAGGTGGGATTGTCGGATGATTTGAATACCCACTACCGTATTTGCAACTCCAAGGTCCTCCATCTCCCATTTACTGGCGATCTCGGTCTTGAAAGTGCTTATGTCATTTCCTGTGATGGCCAAATCATCCACATGTACGTAGATAGCGGTAAAGGAAGAAGTGGACTTGATGGTTCGAGTATATATGCAAGGATCCATAGCACATTGAGTAAAACCAACGCTGAGTAGGAAAGCAACAACTTCATCATACCAAATCTTTGGCGATTGTCTAAGACCGTAGAGAGACTTCTTCAGATGACAGACCTTTCTCTCCTGACCTTTAACCACATACCCTTCAGGTTGGTACATGTACACGTCTTCATCAAGAATACCGTTGAGAAAAGCTGTAACCGCATCCATCTGATGAATTTCCCATCCTTGAGTGGCAGCAATAGCAATTAGTAAACATAGTGATGAAGGTTTACCAGTAGGAGAGAAGGTCTCATGGAAATCCACGCCCTCTTGTTGCATATTACCCATGACAACAAAGCGGGACTTGTGTTTAGATACAGTACCATCCACATTGAATTTCTTGCGAAATAACCAAAAACCCCGAAGGATATTGACTCCAGGAGGAGGATCCACCAACTTCCAGACCCCTTTGGAAAGAAGAGAGTTGTATTCTTTATCACAAGCGGTACGCCAAAAATCATTCTCAGGACCATTCAAAGCGGCCTTGATAGACTTTGGAACAGGCACATCAATGGTAGAAGCTGAAAAATCATCGGAAAGTATGTTGAAAGCTGAAACAAAGGTGAAAGCGTCAAAAATAGCACAACCACCCATGCCTTTATAATCGACGGGTTCCTTGGAACGTAGAGAACGTCGGGATGTAGTTAGAGATGTATCCGTAGGAGGAGCAGGAGACTGAATAATCGATTGATGATTGGGTGAGGACAAGGTGTTATCTAATACGACAGGTGGTGGTACGCTTTTGACCGACCAAAACTCATCATCCTCATCGTCATCGAGCTCGGTAAGAGGTTGGAAGGGATTACAAGATTCTAACGGTAACCGCCTGTCTTGGTTATACTGAACAAGAGGTCGAGGTTGTGATTTATTCAGAAGATAGGGAAAGACATCTTCCTGGAAAGTGACGTTGTGTGAAAGAATAATCTTGCGTGAACTGAGGTCAAAGATAAAGTAGTTAAAATTGTCGTCTTGAAAACCAACCAGTACTCCTTCAGCGGTGACAGAAGAGTATTTGCTCTGGCGTAACTCCTTGCGAATTAGATGATGAGTTAGGCACCCAAACACTCGAAGATGCTTGATGTTGGGTTTTCTGAAGTACCAGACCTCAAAAGGGGTCTTGCCAGTAGGAAGCGCAGAGGTGATAGTTCGATTTGTGATAAAGACGGCCGTCAAACAAGCTAGAAACCAGAAATTTTGAGGAACTCCCGATTGAATCATCATTGATCTAGCACGACCAGTGATAGTCTGATTACCACGCTCCGCAACTCCATTTTGCTCTGGAGTATAAGCAGCAGTCAGATGAAGAACAATACCCGTCTCATCGCAGTGCTGCTGCATGATTGAGTTCACGAATTCACTGCCTTGATCCATGGTGAATTGTTTAAGCTTGCATCCAGTTTGACGCTCAGTTAACGTGATATATTTAATGAAAACGTTAAAAACAGACTCCTTGGATTTATTGCAAAGCGGGAAAATATGACAAAAGGAAGAAAAGTCGTCCGTGAACAAAATATAATAGGCCTCATTGTTTAATCCTAAAACACGATTGATACCACTTAGATTGACATGTACATTCTGAAGAAAG